CAGAGGGAGAAGGAGAGAGAATCTTAAGCAGGCCCCACGCTAGGCTCGATCCAGGGCTCCATCGCCCGACCCCTGAGATCATGACCTGAGCCAAAATCAAGAGTTGGACGCTTAACCAGCGGAGCCCCCGACCCCAGGCGCCGCCCCTCATTTTCCAAAGAGGCTGAATCAGTATATCCCAAGGTCACACAGCTATTAAATAACAAAGCCAGGATTCAAACCTAGTGATGACGGTTCTTAAAGAACAGTTGTAGGGGATACTGAGGGGACACATCTGTTATGCCCGAGTTTTCACGTCCAAGAGACCACCAAGCCAACACTGATGTAAACGCACGAGGGTTTATTCAGCAAGCTTAAGCTTGGGCCCAAGTATACCTGGCACAGCGGAGTAGGGACCTGGACACCGAAGCAGACTATAGTCAGAGGGTTTTTTTGTTTTTTTTTTTGTTTTTTTTTTTTAAGATTTTATTTATTTGACAGAGAGAGATCACAAGTAGACAGAGAGGCAGGCAGAGAGAGAGAGAGAAGGGAGGAAGCAGGCTCCCTGTGGAGCAGAGAGCCAGACTCGGGGCTCGATCCCAGGACCCTGGGATCATGACCTGAGCCAAAGGCAGAGGCTTTAACCCACTGAGCCACCCAGGCGCCCCTATAGTCAGAGTTTTTAAAGGCAGAGTAGGGGTGGGAAAGGACAAAGGGGATGATGTTAGTCTCTAAGGAATTTTGGAAGCAAGGTCTCCAGGACCTTGAGGGGCTAGATATTGTTGCGAGAAAGGTTATTTATTACTAGTAATAAAAATCTTCTCATTAGACCCTTTAGATGTATATCAGTGGGTCATATGCTTGGGAATGATCGCTGACACTATCTTGGAGGTTTAGAGATAAGCTTCACATTTCTCCTATCAAGTGTCCTTGTTAGTGAGATTTAGGTTTAGAAGAAATTTAACTTTATTTACATTTCCTTCTGCCTCAGCCTCCTTCAGTTTTATAGTGGAGGGCGACATTAGGGCTTGGGGAACTGAGTTATTTGCCTCTGGAAGTTGGGCTATTGTTAGATAGCTTCTTTGTTGTAGATCTCTAGGACATTTGTAAACCAAGGGAGACTTCTGTCTTGCAGGATTGTGATCTCTACAAGCTAACTATTTGTTTTTCTTTTAGGGCAGCCAGGGGTGGCTGAGGAATGTCACACATACTACCGAGGGGAGAGGAGCGGGTGGAGAAGGGGGTGCACGGTGCCGGCTTTTGCTTTGTCAAGATGGCTGTACCTATGTCAGGGCTAGACTCGAGGTGGGTACAGCCCTGTTTTTCTTGGCCTCCACAACGTTCACAACCAATAGGCTGGCCGACGATTAGAACAAAAGCCCCGGGCTTTCTCCGGGAACAGTCATGCGGAGCTGACTGACATCCTCGAGCTCCAGCAGTCACCAAAAACGTGAGCAGGGGCGCCTGGGTGGCTCAGTGGGTTAAGCCTCTGCGTTTGCTTCAGGTCATGATCTCAGGGTCCTTGGGATTGAGGCCTGCATTGGGCTCTCTGCTTGAGGGGGAGCCTGCTTCTCCCTCTCTCTCTGCCTGCCTCTCTGCCTGCTTGTGATGTCTCTCTCTGTCTGTCAAGTAAATAAAAAAAAAAAAAAAAAAAACCTTAAAAAAATAACCAAAACAAAGATGTCAGCAGAGGAGACTGAGGGTTTTAGCTTACTGAGACTTTTCAAAAGTGTTTGGCAAGGTTCTGTGCCAAAAATGTTCTCAGACCTCCAAGAAACTGAATGGCTTCACTGGGGCTTTGCAGGGAATGCTTTGTCATGAGGGGAAGGAAGAAATCCCAAAGAATGAATGTGCCCTCCTTGTGATGGAGAATGGAAAACAGCAGTGCCTCGCAGGGTTTGGTGCCTAAGGGGTCTTAGCTCCTAATTTTTTTTAATTTAAGATCTGGAAAAGGAAGCATATAGTGAAAGCATATAGTGAAAACGCCAGTGTCTATAGGATTCTTGGGAAATGAGAAGTCAAATTAATGGAAGGTGTAGGTTTTTTTTTGCTTGGGTTCCCAAATCCTTGCTAACTAACGATCAGCATTTTGTTAGCCAGATTGCCATGGTAACTTACGAGTGGTTTCATCTATCCCACACTTAACTCTCGTGTGCCCCCTAGACGCCAGGTACCGTGCTGGGCGCAGACACAGATTACACAGAGTCACCCTGCTTTACACAAGTGGGAGTCTCTTGGTCCTCCACTTGCTTGTTTTACTTACTGAGGTATTGTAAACAGTACACTGTAAAGAACTACTTCATTCTTTTTCATGTCTGCCCATGGCATTTCCCTGGGAAGTGACCATGTATATACATTGAATCTGTTCCCTCCTGTTCGGCCTTTGCACAATTTCTGGATTACAGTAAAGCAACAATATAGCCTTAAACATATCTATACTCTGATATTTGCCCAAAGTGTCACCTGGACAGGAAATGACAGGGTGAAAGGAGATACAAATTAAAATTTTGGGGTAGGGGGCGCCTGGGTGGCTCAGTCAGTTGAGCGTCTGCCTTCAGCTCAGGTCATGATCCCAGGGTCCTGGGATCGAGCCCCGCATCGGGCTCCCTGCTCGGCCGGGAACCTGCTTCTCCCTCTCCTCTTCTCCTTGCTTGTGTCCCCTCTCTTGCTGTGTGTCTCTCTCTGTCAAATAAATAAATAAAATCTTAAAAAAAAAAAAAAAAAACTTAAAAAAAATAAAGTAAAATTTTGGGGTAGATACTGATGAATTGCCCACAAAAGCATCTTGTTCAGTTTTAATTACCCCCAAAGCATGTGGCAATGCCTCTTTCCTCAATTCCCTACCAATACTGGATATTATATTAGTGTCCTTGTGCTGCTGTAACAAGCTACCATGAATTTAGTGGCTTTAAAACAACACAAATTGGTCGCCTTACAGTTCTGGAGGTCAGAAGTCCGACGCGGGTCTTCGCTGGGCTGAAATCTGAAACGAGAGTGTCAGTAGGACTGCCATCCTCCTAAAGGCTCCAGGAGAGATTCTTCCTTAGCCTGTGGCCCCTCCCACCTTCACAACCGACAAAGTCTGAGGGCGCCTGCGTGGCTCAGCTAGTTGAGCCTCCAACTCTTGGTTTCAGCTCAGGTCCTGATCTCGGAGTTGTGAGGGTAAGCCCCACGGCAGGCTCTGTGCTCAGCGAGGAGTCCGCTTGAGATCCTCTCGTCCTCTCCCTCTGCCCCTCCCCCCACTCCTGTGCATGTGCGCATGTGTGCGCTCTCTGTCTCAAATAAATAAGCCTTTAAAAAAAACCCCAAAAACCAGGGAAACCAGGAGTCTCTCCGACACTGCCTCTTCTGCACCCCCTCCCAATTTCAGAGCCTCTTGCAGTTACCCTGGGCTCACCTGGATAACTAGGATCCTCTCCTTATCATCAGGGCAGCTGACTAGCCTCCCAACTTCCCCCTGTGACCCGAATTTCCCGCTACCTTGTAGCCTGATGCGTCCACGGGGTCCGGGAGTAGGATGTGGATATTCTGGGGGTGGGGCACTTCTCTGCCCACTCCAGATGGTATTAACCTTTTTTTACTCGTGTCCTTTCTACATGAAAACAGGGTATCCTGCTCTTTTAAGTTGCATTTTGTCAGTTATTTGTGAGGTTAAACATCTTTTTCTGTGTGCAGGGGCGGAATGGTTTCTATTATCCTAAGTTGTCTGTTCAAGTCTTTTGTCTCCTTTTCTATTAGATTGCCTTTTTGTTGTTGTTGTTGCTTTCCGCTGAGTTATAAATTCTTGAGGGCAAGGACTTCTTCATATTTCTGTTTACATCCGAGTGCTTGAAGATATGGCCAGATTCAGAGAAACTCCTCAGTGTCCGCTGGCCCTCCCTCCTTCCCTCCCACCCCATGCTCTTGCTTTTCTGCTTTGGAAGAAGTGTCTGGACCTGGATTCTCCCAGCTGAACTGGCTGACTTGAGTGTGTCCAGAGGGCATGATGGTCTTATGGCTTACTTACTGCGCCATGGACTTCTCAAGCCATGATGGGCTCTGGAGTCAGCCTGCAAGTGCCTCCCTCTGCCCCTGGCTGAGCATTTTCAGGTTGCTGGTATGGGAACAAGACAAGCATTTACCCCTCCTTTTGAGAGGAAGGGCCCCTCTCGCTGAGCTGCTCCACCTTGCCATGTTGAGGCCATGACAAGACCCACCACCAGTGACCTGTGGAGCAGCCCCAGGGGAGGGGGGGGCAGGGGGGCGGGAGGGATCTATCTCATGACTCTGCCCAACAGGCTGCAGGGAGAGATTACTTTCTCCTGTTGCTGACCTAGAAATGGAGGCTCAGAGAGGCTAAGGGGACCCCCAACATGGTATGGCTAATTTGGGGTATGGGGACTCTTCCCTACACCAGGCCTTCCCGGGGCCTTCCTCTCTCCCCCATTTCTCCAGCCTGATGGGCACCTGGGCCGCAGCACCCATGCCAGCCGCACCCCTCCCTCCCCCCTGCCGAAGCCAGCAGCTGCCTTTGCCTGGCAGACCCAGACCTGGACCCGGACTCGGAGGAGAGGGGGCCACAGGGAGCCCTGTATGGCCCTTTCCTTCCTGGTCAACAGCCTGGGCTCCCGCTCCTTCTGTGTAGCCGTCCCAGGGCTGGAACTCATTAGCATTTATGAACTCCATCTGCTCTGCTTGGAGACTGGCCCTGCGTCTCTGCTCTCCCCGCCCTGGATGTGTATGTGTGTGTGGTGGTCGGAGGGGCGCTGCACACAGATGCCATTGTGTGAACTGGGGCGGCAGCCCGGAGGGCAGATGCCCAGGCGAGCTGTGTGGGCGAGGGCCCCCTAGCCAGGAGGGTGCGGAAGCTGAGCAGCGGGATCCAGCTGGGCTTTGGAGTGAGGGGAGTCTGGAGACTCTCTGGAACCCCTCTGGAGCCCCCAGAGCCTGTGGGGCCTGGGATGAAGGGGCTTTGCCCTTCCAGGGCACTGTGGGCTCAGCTCCACCGCCCACAGATGACGTGGCTCCCTCCCTCTCCTCAGGAGTGCATCATTGACGAGGACTGCGGGCCCACCAGGTACTGCCAGTTCGCCAGCTTCGAGTACACCTGCCAGCCCTGCCGGGACCCACAAACAGTGAGTGTGCCTAGAGGCCTCTGCAGCTGCAGCAGAGGGACTCTGGGGGCTGGGCTGCGTCCCAGAGAAGAGGACTTGGGGGAGAAGGCCAGCAGCCCTATGGTTCTCAGTTGGGCTTCCAGAAGACTTCGGTGGGGCCCTTAACCATGTCCATGCTGGGAAGGGCCTCTCCATGGTGCCCAGTGGGGCCAACTCCTAGAGGGACTAGGAAGCCATCTGCAGACCCACTGACATCCTCCCCTGCCGCATGGTCCCTAACTTCATGGCCTGCCTCATGGAGGACGGAGGGAGAGGGGGAAGGAGGGAAGGCAGAGCCCCACCCCGTTCCTTCCCCTGGGATAGACCCATCCCCAGAGATACAGCCCATGACACTACTGCAGTCCCCACTCCCACCCTCCAGATCTTCCGCTCTGCCCAGAGAAGGCAGAAGGCAAGCTGGGAAGAAGCCAGAGTATGGCCCTAATAGACACTTCACAGGGAAGCACGAAGCCAGGGAAGCGGAAACTCCCTCCACCCAACAGATGTTTTGGACAAAGCCATAAGTGCTCATCAACTTCTCTTGTCCTTTTTCATGAAGAAGACAAGAACATAGCATAAGTGTGGAAAACAGGGCTTCTCACTCCCCTGTCCGGTGTCACCTGTGATTAGGCAGCTGCCGTTGTCCCCCACGCCAGCCATGTCTGAGCGCCACCGCGGGGTCCCAGAGGAGGCACCCATGGGCCCGCCCCACCCACAAGGCCTCCACACTTGGGCCTTGAGTTAGCTCCCAAATCCGGCTGCTGCCTGCATCTGTGAGCCGGGAGCCACCTTCCATCCTGACCTAGGGAGCTAATAGAAAGGAGACAAGGCACCAGTCTGGGGGGGGGCGTCTGAAGGACACACTGCGTCCTATGCAAAATCTCAAGTTGCATAGGAAGACCCAGGTGTACAGAGTCCCTCTCAGGTGCTTTTTTCCAGTGTTCTGACCGCTCCCATCTCCCATCTCTGTCTCCGTGACTTCCACCAAGAGCCCCACAAACCAAGCCTCAGTTGCCCCCATGCCACCCCAGTGTGAGGAGAGTGTGTGCTTTACCCACACCCCCCCTGCCCCCCGCTGTGGCATATTCAGGCTTTTAGGGCTCGGAGCGGGCGCAGGCTGGGGTCTCTCTGGTACAGGAGCTGGCCTGCTAGTGTTTGCCCACCTCTCTGCAGCTCTGTACTCGGGACAGTGAGTGCTGTGGAGACCAGCTGTGCGTCTGGGGTCACTGCACCAAAACAGCCACCAAAGGGGGCAATGGAACCATCTGTGACAATCAGAGGGACTGCCAGCCCGGACTATGCTGTGCCTTCCAGAGAGGTGGGTGGGCTCTCCGCTGGGTATGGGACAAGCCCTGTCCCAGGCTCCACCATACCAGGCTTCCTGGGGCCCCATCCACACCAAACACAGCTTTTTGGGGTCCCACCTCCTGGGCGGGCCCCCAGATGCCCGCTCAGTGTGTGTCCTGGTCCTAGAACCTCTGCCTGAGGCAGGTCCCCACCAGCAGTGGACCATCATGTCTCTCTCTCTCTGTCCCCTGTTGACTTCTAGAAAATTCAAACTTCCTTCAGGATGCGTGATTCCAGGGCAGGAGGAACACCCCCAAAGGGTGGGATTTGAACAACCCCTCCAGCTCTCCATCCTCCTTCCTGAGGGTGGGCCCCTTCTGTTCCCATTCCGTTCTCATGGCCGCTCCTGGGGGAGCTTGCTCAGGCACTCTCCCCTCCTGCTATGTTTCTGAAAACCTCTCCCGTAGCTGCCTCCCCAGTTCAGCCTCTGCCAGCCCCAGCCCACCTGGTCCCTGCTGTCCCAGCCATTTTCCCCAAAGTCAGCTCTCAGTGGGGCTCCTCTGGCAGCAGGGGTCGCTCTGTTCTGTCTCATCAGTTAGACTCCTCAGGCTGCCTTTCAAGGCCAGCTGCAGCCTATCTGTCCGCCTTCTCTTTCCAGGGCTCCCAGCCTTTCCCACCACGCCCAACCCAGGCCTTTATTGGCCCGGGTCCCAGCCCCAGGGCCTTTCCTACACTCCCAATTTCTCCAGACCTTTGGCCTTAAAATCCAGCAGAAGTCTGCATCCCCATGCAGCCCTCCCTAACTGGCCCAGCCCTCTGGAGCCCGTCCTGCCATTGTTTCTTCCCATTCTGCCTCTTCAGTTTTAATCTCCGCTTTGTGGTTGAGGGTGGAAGGTCGGGGCTGCCCCCCATTTCTCCGCTCCTTTCCGTGGTGCCTCCCTGCTCGATGCTGGGCATGCAGGGAATGACTCTGCCCTCTGGTCCCAGGTCTGCTGTTTCCTGTGTGCACACCCCTGCCTGTGGAGGGTGAGCTGTGCCATGACCCCGCCAGCCGGCTTCTGGACCTCATCACCTGGGAGTTAGAGCCTGATGGAGCTTTGGACCGATGCCCGTGTGCCAGCGGCCTTCTCTGCCAGCCCCACAGGTGAGGCCCTGCCTGACCTCCCCGTCGGAGGTCAAGAGCAGAGCAGGGGCCACCCAGTGGGATCTCAGGAGCCAAGGGGTGATGTGGGTTTAGTTTCCCACAGATTTAAGTGGCAGTGTCCTTGGGTCATCCAGGTGGAGAGTCTCCCAGCAGTCCTATCTGTCCGTCTGGGGCTCATGAGAAGCTGTGGCTGGGGGTACAGATCTGGAGCTCGTCTGCATGGCGGTTGAAGCCTTATGAGTAGGTGACCCAGGGACGGGGTATAGAGGCAGAAGAGCTGGGGGCTGAGGCGGGAGCCCAGGCCCTTCACAGTGAAGGACAAACTGAGGAAGAGCTGGCAGAGGTGAGTGAGGAATGGGGCACCGCTCACAGTGTCCTAGCTGCTGAGAGACCATGAAGCATCTAGGTGTGGCCTCCCTGCCGGCACTACTCTCCCCACCACCCCCAGAATCTGGGGTGGCTGGGCAGACAAGAGGACTCCCCTGGCCCTGCCTCACGAGACCTGCGGCTCCCCACAGGAGCAGCAGATCTGGCAGGCGGGCCGGTGGCTGAGAGGGGCTATGCGCTGCCCTAATCCCTTGGGCCCCGCATTGCCCAGGGCCTGCCCCCAAGAGTCTCCGGGACAGGCCTCTGCGGGAGGTGGGGGAGCCGCCCCTCGGAAAGTGACCCTCCCTCAGCAGACTTTCCTAAGGTGAGATGTGGACAGGGAGGGAAGACCCCGTTGAGGCGTTAGAGGAGGTATGAAGGTGAGCTCAGAGCCAGGACCCCGTTTTCCGGCACGGCCCCCCCCCCACGTCGAGAGCCCCGCATCAGCTCTCCCCGCAGCTGAGCCCAGCCCCCGTGTCGCCCCAGCCATAGCCTGGTGTACGTGTGCCAGCCGGCCTTCCCAGGGAGCCACGCTGACGCCGGAGACAGCCTGGTGCCCAGGGAGGCCCCTGATGAGTACCAGGACGGCAGCTTCATTGAAGAGGTGCGCCAGGAGCTGGAGAACCTGGAGAGGAGCCTGTCCGTGGAGATGGCGCTCGGGGAGCCCGGGGCTGCCTCTGAGCTGCTGGAAGGAGAGGAGATTTAGACGGAGGCCTGCTCCGCGCTCGGGTAGACATGGGATAGAAATAGCTAATTTATTTCCCCAGCTGTGTTCTCTAGGTGTGGGCTTACTGGGCTTTTTTCCATGGCCTCTTCCCAGTACATTTTCCCTCTGGCTTAAAACGAGGAGCTGTGCGTTTGTCCAGCCCCCTGGACTGTGTGCCGTCCATCACAGTCCCGGTGCCTGGGGACCACGGGGGTGTGTGGGAGGGTGGGGGGCTGCTACACTGGTCCAGAGTATGGGCCACTCGGCCTCTGCTGGCTGGCATCTGGCACATTTCCTTTTTTTCTACATCATCTTGAGAATTGGAGGAGGGGAGGTGACGGAAAAGGATGCTGATGTCCCCGTGATGGGTTTTGGGGAAATGTGGACTGTCTTACATGTGGAGGAGAGTGCCCTGCTTTGCCAACATAAGCCTGGTGAAATGTAACAAAGGAATTTTCCATGTATTTCTTCCCATGGGCACAGGCAAGCTGTGCCTTCCACTGCTGCGGGTGACGTTTTCTGCTCACTCCGTGTCATGTGCGTCCCTGTCCTGTCAGCAGTATTCCTTGGCTCCTGCCTCTGTGCCAGGGTAGCAGTTTCAGACCCTTTACCACAGTCTGGCAGGGAGGGTGGCGGTCTCCCCATTTGTCAGCATCTTGGCGTCTCAGGGACATCAGGTTGCTTGCCCAAGTCACACAGCTAGTGGAGACCAGAGCATGATTGCTCCCAGGTGTGGGTCCATGTGCATGCTTTCCCTTCCCTCCTTGCCAGCCCAATGCCACCTAAAGTACCCTCTAAAAGGAGGATGGATGGGAATTTTTCTTTTGAGGCATATCTGGAATTAAGGTCCATCTAGTTCACTGTTAAGATTAAACTTGTACTGTTAGACATAGCATTCTCCCTGGTGTGGGGGTGGTCATTAATTCCAGCGGAGAAACGAATGGTATTGACATTGTCCCCCTATGGCAGTTATGTTAGTGACTTGGAAAGTACATGATTGGTGCAGAGTATATACGTTAACTTGCCAGAAACAGTACTTAAGTAATGGTAGGGCCAGGATTATAAATGAAATTTGCAAAATCACTTACCAGCAACTGAAGACCGTTATCAACCACATGGAGAGAATCGAACAAAGCAAGGCTCTATGAAATATGGTTGTACTATCCAAGCTGAGAGAGCACTGGACTGTATGCTATTCTGTAAATGATATTTTCAGGTGCCATGGACTGTTTCCATCATGTATTCATCCAGAGTTATTAAATTTTAAAATTGCACACGATTGTATAAGCATGCTTTCTTTGAGTTTTAAATTATGTATAAACACCTATGTTGCATTTAAAAAATCAAGCATAAATCACTTAAACTACTCCTTTGTAGTTTCTTGGATGTCTTTTTTTTCCTTTTGACTTTGAATAAGTAACACTTTTATCCAGAAAAAATAAAATGGAAATGAACCGCATCGTTTAAAAAAAAACACCAAAAAGCTCTGCCACATAAGTGAATTTTCCAGACAAGTGAAGCATACCTGTTATAGCACCAAAATATTTTAGAAATGCTAGCCATTTTTGTCAGGGATTAGTGTTAAGAGTGTGAATACTTCAGTGTCTTCTGAAAGAGTGAATGGAATGTATAGGACTCATAAAAAAAAAAAAAGATTTATTTGAGAGAGAAAGACCATGACTAGGGGGAGGGGCAGAGGGAGAAGCAGACTCCCCACTGAGCAGGGAGCCTGATGCAGGGCTTGGGGCCAAGCCCCCTGGGATCCTGACCTGAGCTGAAGGCAGACGCTTAAAGACTGAGCCACCCAGGCGCCCCTGACTCTTTTTATTCAAATGCGGTTCTGAACCGTAACACAGATCTTCAGGGGCTGTAATAATAAAACTACTATATATTAAGGTCAGCTGGGTGGCAGGCGCCAGAGTAGGCAGTCTACCTATATTACCTCATTTAATCTTCATTGAATCTAGGAGTATTTTCTTCATTTAACAGATGAAAAAAACGGAAGCTCAAAAATATGAGGTGATAGGGCCGCTGGGTGGCTCAGTCACTAAGCGTTTGCCTTTGGCTCAGGTCATGATCCCAGGACCCCTGCATGCGGCTCCCTGCTCAGCGGGAAGCCTGCTTCTCCCTCTCCCACTCCCCCTGTTTGTGATCCCCTCTCACCGTCTGTCAAATAAAACTAAAAAAATGAGGTGATAGAGCTAAAAGTCCAACAAAAACAGTATCTAGTATAGTCTGCTCAGGATATACCGGTAATTTTAAGATCAAATACAGAGTTGTTCTCTATTCAACGTCAAAGTCATCATGACCGTTCTGTATCCTTATTACTCAGCAAGTATTTATTCGAACCAGGTACTGCGATAGGCTCTGGGGGTGCCACGGAGATCCAGATAGGGCCCCTACCCTGAATGCCTCATCACAGCCTCCCGAGAGAGGCACAGTGAACTCCGCACCCACAAACCAGTGAGCCCGGTATCAGAACGGTGTTACGGGAGCCCCAGAGGAGCACGTGGTTTGGGAGAGCTGGCATGGGGATCGGCTCTCACAGCTCACAGGAAGTTTATGAGGTAGTCAGAAGGAATAGGAAAGGGCATTCAGAGCCAGGGGCAAGAGGGAGAGAGGGAGGGAGGCAGGCAAGAAAAAGGGATGGTATAGAGAGGAAACAGTAATTCACAGAGGCTGGAAGGTAAGGTAAATTTGAACAGGTGTTTGGAGGAGAGGCTTAAAATGGTTTCAGTCCACAAAAATTTCAGAGTTCCTACTATATGTCAGGCCCTACCTATTAGGTGCCAGGAGACGGTGGTACATGAGAGAAAACTTGGTCCCTCCCTCACGGAATTCGTGGGCAGGTACATCCTGCTCCAGCCCACTTCCGGTGGGAAATTGAATCAGCCACACACAGCTGGCAGTCACTCGAGAAGCGGAACTCCTGCATAGTCGTTTCTCAAGTTGGTACTCCTTAAACGGGTTACTCAAGCATTATAAAAGAGGCTGAACCCTAAGTATGCCCTCTGTACTGGGGAAAGAGGCAGATTGGGAGCAAGGAGGGAGCATGGTCCCCATTTCTGAGGCAAGGCTATAGGGTCCACTAATAATTCTTGGTTTGGTGAGTTCTCCAGCTCTAACCAGTCAGAACACTGCTTCTCCAGTGCAGAGTAGCTGGTAAGGCGAGGAAGAGTCGGTGCTGGCACGGGGAAGGGTCAGAGCATTCCTCCCCAATGCTTTCCTGCCCTCCTAGCTTGGCCACTCTGATCGCTGCATTCTTTTCTGAATGATCACACGTTTTCACACACTCTTGATTGTTTCTAAAAGCCAAGTTCTGAAAACACTGTATGTAACCAAATGGTCCTATAGCACCCTCCTTCCCCACAGGAACAACACTGAGGATACTCAAGTGTACACCTGGTCTTGACTGGCCACAAGCTTTATCTGGGCCCTGAACTGCTTTGCAAACTTGACGAAAATATTTTCTAGCCCCTCAGAAAACTATACGTCCTGCACAGTTTTGCTTTTTTAAAAGACTTGAATTGCCTTATAAGGCTTCTGACGACTAGTGACCAAAATATTGACTTGTTTTTCAAAAATTAAAAAGAATTTAGATGCAATAGTTTTTATTTAATAAAAAAAAAATTGCTACTTAAGATTATCCCTTCTTGCACGCCTGGGTTAACGCTTCTGCCTTCAGCTCAGGTCATGATCCCAGGGTCCTGGGATTGAGCCCCGGAGGGAGGGAGCCCTCGGCAGGGAGCCTGCTTCCCTTCCTCTCTCTCTGCCTGCCTCTTTACCCACTTGTGATCTCTCTGTCAAATAAATAAAATAAAAATCTTAAAAAAAAAAAAGATTATCCCCTATTCCATATACTTTAGACTATAATTTGTAAGTCACAAGTGCGAAGGAGTTGGTTAGGGTCTTGATGCTAAACAAAGGGACAAAATTCAGAGGGAGAATTTTCCCAACTGGAAAGCGAATGAACCAGAATAAACGATTTTATTGTATTCCATGCATTCACAGGTCACTTCCAGATTTAAAAATGCTCTGATTCTGTGCACTTATTTAGCTTAGACCGCGCTGTAAGTTTTCGCTCTCTCCCTCTCCCCTGGCCTAGACAGGACACAGCACCCTTCCTAACAGTGCAGCCTGGCAACGATTTTCTAGCTGTGGCATAGGTTCGCGGTCTCCCTCCCACTGCCCTCATTTTCTCAGAATCTCTAAGTAATTTCCATGCATTCTGAAAGAGACCGTTGAATATTCTAGTGTAGGGTTTCTTCCCTACTTTTATCTCATCGTGATTATTAGCCCTTCGTTACACTTCCTTAGTTTAGCAAGTGGACTTCCAGCTAGCAAGCTTCTGCACAGACCGGCTAGACACAGTATGGCCCTGAAAGCACAAGGTTTTCTTTCTTTGACCAGAACATACCCCTCACCTTCAGCACCTGCCTGATAGGTAGCTACTTGGTTCTCACCTGGTGTGCCTGACTGACGCAAACCCATCTCTCTCACGGTAGAAGCTCTTCAAAACCTTTGCGTGACCTGTGAGGAACAGGGTCACAATTTATTGCATGTGGTTTGTGTCACTGGCCCCACACAGTCTGTGCTCTGCCTCTTGGATGATGGGTCCTCACAGGATTCTCTGAATCTGAGGGAGATGGGCACACGTTAACTTCCCTCACATAAATTATCATTTCCATCACCACAAATCGAGTTTGAAAAGTTCACCACCCCTTTGCTGAAATTGCTAAAGTGCAACACCGTGTTCTCACTCTATCAGGCACTGAAAAAGCAGGAAGCTTTAAATTTTTCCTTACCCTTGGCATTTGTAGTCTTCCTGCAATTAGAAGCAGCAACCACCAACACAAAAAGCAGGGCAGAAGGCACAGACCGAGGAGCAGGTGTGAGAAGAATTTTACCATTTCCCACTCTTAAAGGAACGGGAAACCAAACCAAAGCCAAAGCCCATTTTTGTTAACAATCAGCCTCTTCTCCACAGAGAGTGGGTCCTCAAGGGCAGAAACTTCATTTATTAACCCCTATATTCCCACGAAGTAAGCCTGTATTAGAGCCAAAGGGCTGTTGTGTTACATCAGAAAATCCAAGTGATCTGAAAGACAATGCACCACAAATGCTTCCAAGTTTTTCCTCAGAGAACACCAACTCCACTAACGCAAACTTGGAACGTACTTCAGTGAAATTTAGCAGAATGCTACACGGTTTACATGGCATAAAAATCAGCCAGAAAAATATCTTAGGAAAGCTCCCCCTCACCCCCCTGTGGATTTCAAGAAACTTTAAAGGTATTATGGAATTTTCAATTACTATATTCAAACTATAGAGCCAACATCTGCTAATACTATTTTCTATCTTTCTTAAAAGGAAATAAGGTAAAAACCTGATTTTGAAATACTGACAGGATCCTCCAAAGTTAAATATTAACATCTTTTCATCTCTGAGAGCTTTCCTGTAGAGGGACCTTACAGAAATGAGATTATTCAGTACATGTTACAAAATGTTAAAGAAAACAAGTCTATTCTTAATCCAGATTCTTCATCCACAAAAGTTTAATGACTAAAATAACACAACAGAATGAACAAATGTTTTATTGGCATGTTCATTGTTGTAAACAGCATCTGGCATGAAAAAGTTTTACCAAAACCTTTTTATTGATTTTTATAAATTAGATGGCATTTTCAAAAATTATGTAGAATTGTGTTCATTGAAGTCATATTTAGCAAAGCAAAAACTTGCCAATTCGAATAGACTTTGCAATGAAATCATGTTGACTGCATCAGCCTGTGCCATGACCTGACTTACTAGCAAGTTTTTTCAACACGATGTTATGACACTTCTGCAAAGTTAAACTACATGTAACTACAAATCAACTCCAAAAATTAAAGTGGGACTTACGAGGGTTCTAGAAGATTCAAACTTGAAGTAAATCTTCAAAAATAAATGTATAAAGAAAAAAAAAACAAAAAACTGAAGCCACTGAACAGAAAAACCTCATTAACAAGGGCAAATACAATCGTATGGGACCCAGCACTGAGGAACCTCACTGAGGATTACATTTACATAGACTGCTATTCTCCTCAATGTACACAAATGTACATCATGAATGATATGTGAAAAGAATAACCATGGGAAGTAGCTGAACTGCAATTATGGTAACTCAATAGGATCAATTTTATTTACATGCTGAATGAACGAGTGAGACGTATTCTCTACATCCATAACTTAAGTACAATCAATTATAATTACAATATTGCAGCAATTTGAGCTGCTATCTGCTGGGAGCGGTCTACGGGAAACGTTTTGATGTTCCAGAATAATGTTCTTAATACTTTGCAAAAAATGAAATGAAATAAAAACACAACTTCACAATTCTCTTTACTGGGTTATGGCTGGTTCTAAGAATTTCTTTCTTCAGCTCTTGTTTTTGCTGTTTTCCAAAGGTCAACACACGTTGCATTTACTTCCGAATTGTCAATGAGGTAATGTGTGTATCAGTGAAATAAACAGAAAATCCATTCATTCATGGCCTTTGCACAGCTTTTATTATGAAGCTATGAGCATCCTGTTTGAGGCTAGTTTTACTAGCAGCTATGTGCACATTTGTCCGCAATAAAAGAATTGTACTCATTCCCCTTCCCCCTTTTCTAGTAGCAGGTTTTGCTTTTTGTTTTTTTTTTTGTTTGCTTGTTTTTATTCTTTTGCACATCCCTTTTCACTTTACAGTACTTTTGACTATAGTGCACAACATGATTCCAAGTCAAAACAGTGGCCCATTGGGCACTGAGCTTCTGATTGGTGAAGGGCAGTCCAATCAGTGCTGGTGTCACTGGGTTACCCCTAACCATGTCCCGCCATAATGGCACTACACAGTAGCAGTGAACCATCTAATTAAAACCAAAAATCCCCCAGGGAAAATGCTACACTAGCAGAGTCAGTCTTGAGTCAGATCTTTATTTGGTGCTCCATCCAGATATATTTTTAGTGCTTTCTCCTTCCGAGGTGAGTACGTTACACGGTGTCCCGTCTTCTGGAGTCGACTACTTTCTTTTTTCATCAGTTCATTTCTTTGCTCATCTGTTAACTCCATTAATTCTTCTGTTTTATCCCTGTTTAAAATATTAATTACATATTAGGTCAGTACAGCCATCTGCCTTTATTGATTTATGCTTGAATGTTATAATGCTCCTTGGTGAGAAAATGAAATCTGATGGTCACTGGTAAAGTTAAGTCATCTCATACTAAGATGTCCTAGATTTCAAACATGTTTACTAACACAGCACTCACTTCTAAAAATGGCACAGAATAACTTCCATGCTACTGCTAATGTAATAATAGCTATCATTTACTGAATATTTATGTATAACAGGTACTATGCCAGTTTTAAAAAATGCAATAGTTCTAGTTCTCATACAGTTCTGCAAGGCTGACATCATTGTCACCATTTTACAGATGAGGAGCTAACAAAGCCTAATCTGAACTCCTAGCTGCCTCAGGCTCCAATGACTATTCTTTTTCCTCTGTATCTGCGCTGGCTCCCACAATAGCCACTTGCTCCATGTCCCAACCAATTGCTTGAGACCTACTAAAAGTGTAACATGCACTATTTTTAAGACTTACTTTAAGAAAAAGAGCATAAAACATCTCACGAATGACTTTTTTTTTATACTGATGGCATGTAATGATAACATTTTGGACGCAGTGGGTTAAAATATTTCATTAAAATTAATTTCACCAGTTTCTTTTTACTTTTTTTAAGTGTGGCTACTGGAAAAATTCAAAATGTAATGCGTGGCTCTTATATTAACTACTGATCAGAGCCACTCTATATCATAAACATAGTAAAGGTATTTATAGAAAACAAGATACTATGCACAACAAAAAAATGTTACATCACTGGGAATAACAAATACATTGTAAATGTACCTATAAAATATGACTGCACCATCATCACAGATATAAAGAGGCCAGACATTCAGGGTGGAAACTTTAGGATTCCAGTCCAAATCCTGATGAATATCAAGGACAGAAATATCACAGGGAAAAGTTCCTCTACCCTAGGGAAAAAAATGAATGAATGAATAAATCATGCTGTTAGCCCTGTTTATTGAGCACCAGTACCCAAATGCAAACATTCTTAGTGCCTTACCTTGGCAAATTCAATATCTTCCAAAGGAATGCCACTGATTTCAGAAAGCTGTAAAAGGAAACACTTTATGAGTTCATTCAAAAAAAATAAATTTACTAAAATAAGTCATCAACCATTTAACCCACAAAGAAATAGCTTGATTTTTTTCCAAGATGTAATGTTTAATATAAAATATTAGAAAAAGCAGAAAGAGGAGCTGTCTCCCTTCCACCCTGCAAATGCCATGTCCCAGAAATACAAATTTAATATATTCCTTCCAGATCCTTTCCTATGCATAAACTACATCACATATTTCTAAAATACATAAACTTATATTTATGAAACATCTCTATAGAATAATTTTATAAGACTATTTCTAAGAATAGGATACAGAGTAACCTCATTCTCTTCATTAGCTTAATATACTATTTTATTCCCTCCCGATGGACATCAAGTCTGTTTTTAATTTTTCCCAGTTACAATGCTATACTATATACCTTCATGAGTATCTTTGCATATTTTTTAAATTTAATTTTTTATCTTTTCAGTGTTCCAAGATTACATCCTTGCATACTTCTGCAATTATTTCTTTGAGATTGAATTCTTAGATGTGGAACTGCACATCTGAAATGTTGATAATGCCAAATGGAAGCCTGAAAAAATTGTATCAGCTTAACTACGATATACAAGTTGTATATTGCCTGTTTTTCCTAAACCTTGATGACTCTAGGTATTTTTGATGTTCTAAATTTTCACCACTTTAAGAGGTAAAGAATGCTATTACTATTTTAACTTGTATTTCTTCTTCAACAAATTGCCTAATGAAGTTCTTTGCCCATTTTAAAATTAGATTGTTCATCTTTTTCTTATTAATGTGGTGGCTCCTTACAAATACGGACCATCTCGTTTCATATCTGTTTTAAGTATTTTTCCCCTTTCTTGTTTTTTATCTTTGTTTATGGGTTCTTTAAAAAAAACTGGGGAGGGGGCGCTGGGTGGCTCAGTGGGTTAAGCCTCTGCCTTCGGCTCAGGTCATGATCTCAGGGTCCTGGGATCGAGCCCCGCATCAGGCTCACTGCTCAGCAGGAAGCCTGCTTCCTCCTCTCTCTCTTTGCCTGCCTCTCTACCTACTTGTGATCTCCGTCTGTCAGATAAATAAATTTTAAAAAAATTGGGAGGAGGCTGTGTGTGGAAGGCTTACGCTTTTATACGATCTTTTCTTTTTTTAGTTTCTGGTATTATGCTTACAAATATCTTTCCCTTCCAGGATATAAAAATATTTTTAATATTTTCATCTAATACAGTTATCATTTTATTTTACCTTTATATAAATTTAATATACTTAGTATTTTGTGTTTGGTGTGAATTATGGAAACAAACTTTTTTTCTCAAGATGCTAACTGTCCTAGTACTGCTTATGAATAATTCACCCAATCCCGAGAGCCACCAAATTCCACCTTTGAAATGAATAATGCAGAAGAGGACTTCACCTGGATTCTTTATTCAGTTCCACATCATTTAGCTTTTTAAAATAGAGCAGCAGTTTAGTCTAGTAACTTCTAACTAATCCTAATTACTCAGGACAAACTTGATCTAAGTAACTAAAAGTGAGGATCAACTTCTAGATGGCCAAAAGCCAGTGTAATTTTTCAATGTACCAAGAGCCTGAAGAAATAAGGTGTGTGACAAGGTGTCACAAGGTACAAAAGAGACAAAGAAAGAAAGGTTGCCACGTTAGTATCTGGCACTCACTTCCTAGGCCCTCTCTTAAGCAACACAGAGAAAAACACATGCTAGTCCAATTTGTTTAAAATGAACTTACCTTCTCTCGCAGCTCATCAACACTACTGCTTTCCAACACAACCTCCTGGAAGGGATCCAGCTTCATTTCTGAAGGTCTCCACCTTCTTGACAGAACTGCAAGCTGTGACATGGATTTCATCTTCTCCACCCCTATGAAGATACAAGATTACGTCATCTTTCTCTTTTCTCTAGAGGTTCATACTTGGACTTTTTCTGTATTGCCTGACTACACAAAAAGATTTACTTCAAGTGTTATGCTTAGTGGACATAAAAGAACCCAATTACCCTGAGGAGTTTTTGAGAATAAAGTACTTCCTCTCTTCCCTCCAGTCTCTGAGGAGAATTCCTTACTCTTTTGCAAGCTTTCCTTCCACCAGGACTCTGAATTCTCCCTCCTGAGTCCTGCTGGACACTGCTCTACCAACGACTCTCTTCTCCGGGTTGCCAATCTTTGCCTCTGTGTTGGCTACTACCCCCACAAATCATCTTCACTTTATCTTCTTTCTTCCCTCAGGCTATCATTAATCCCTCTTTTCATCTATTCAAAACTTACTGATTCTTCAAAACCCAGCTCAATTGTCTCCTTTCTCTGGTGTACACAAGAGCAAACTACTGATTTGGTCCTTAGTACCTATGATTTTGGAATTACAGGTTTGCAGTTCTGGTTCTCTTACAGACTATGCATCTGGAGGACAATCACGGGTTCTTGAATTCATTTTTGTAGCAGCAGACATTAGCAGTGTCTGGCTATTTACAGGTCAATACATGTTTCTTAGATTTAATCACATGGTTTATTTCTTCCTCAACTATTTTGATACTAAAATATATACTGAAATGATACTGATGCAGGCACCCACCATCCAGTAAGATCTCGCAGTGAATCCATCTCAATCCTTCCTAACAAGGGGAACTTCTATGTTCTTCATAATCTCCTCCTGGCCTACACAGACCAAGTGACTATTCTCTAAGGCTCCAGAGGCTCAGAGAAGGACTCACAGTCTGGAGCACCTGCCTACACAGCATGGTAGACAGTATCCTAGTTGTTCCTTATCTCTCCCATTAACTTGTCAAGTAATCACAGCTTTAACAACTGAAATTTCAAACAAACTGGACCCCAAATATCCTGAAATAGGTGAGGTGTTAGTATTATTGAACTGTCTGAAAACTATCACAATCTTGTATGTTAATGTTAATTTCTATGGAGGGAAAAAAAGGAAAATCAAAGTCTTTCTAGGCAATAGCAGTCACCAAAGAACATAACTAGCTGTTGCCTTAATATGATCTCCCTAAAGTCAACTTTTCTCCTATTACCTCCTCCCGAGAAACAGTACTTTAAATGTTCCAATGCTGAGCATTTAAACCAGGAGGTGTGAAAAACACAAGACCTCTTCTATGTTACTGTTATAGGTCAAAATTGTGTCTCTTCAAAGAGACATCTGAAGTCCTATACCCTAGTACTTCAGATTATGACCAGCTTTGGAGACAGGGTTGTTATAGTGGTAATCAAGTTAAAATGAGGTCATTAGGGTGGGTCCTAATCCAGCAAGACCAGTGCCCTTATAATATGGGGAAATTTGGAAACAGACACATAAGCTCACAGGGAGGACATCATGTGCAGATGAAAGCACAGATCAGGAGATGCATTTACAAGCCAACAAACACCAAAGACTGCCAACCAACCACGAGAAGCTAGAGGGACACGGAACAAGTTTTTCCTCACAGCTCTCAGAAGGAACCAACCCTGCTGACACCTTGATCTCAGACCTCCAGCCTCCAGAACTGTGAAACAATAAATTTCTATTGTTTAAACCATCCTGTCTCTGGTACTTTGTTATGGCAGCTTAGGAAACTAATACAGTTATAGTTCTCAAAATCTCTGATCAATTATCAATACAACACCCTCAACAAAATAAGCCATAATGAAGAGACTAAATAATAAACCCAAGTAAGAAATGTTAGAAGAATTTTCTGTAAAAAGTACTAAAAACGCAACTTTGAAACTTTAAGTTCCCTGTAAGGAGAAATTAATATTCTCCAAATTATAGAAAATAAATATTTAAAAGGTAAGTGGAACCCAGACTAGAAATAGAAGAAAACATGGTATGTGATAAAAAAAATATAGGCTTCTATTAGTTCCAGAGCATTTCTAACTGATATTTTCCCAGAAAAACATGGATAATACCATCAAGAACTTCAAGGAAAACCTCCCAGTTGCTGGAGATGTTAATATCTTCTTCATAAATATGGTAATCCAAAAAGACAGTGCCAGGATTCTTCCATGTTTTTTTCCTTAGACGAAATCTACAAATGTGATAAGACATTTTAAACTACGGTATTTTGAGATTCTTAAAAAAATGACATGAATCTGATATCAAGGAAAAATGAACTATGTTTAAATATAAAAGTCAAGTAGTTCATTAAAATGTGGGAAAAATATAATGATATGTTCCTCAAACTTCAAATTTAGGGTCTACAGAGGAAGTTCAAAGAAATTCTAATAGTTTTGTTTAGTTCTATTAAAAATTAATCTGTACTATTAAAATTCTGGATAGTATAGGAATTTTTAATTCTAGTTTTAGAAAATTATACCAATCCATATCAAATGACCACACAGTCTGCCTTCCAATTGTTGATGACACTATAATTTTACTTTACCTGTCAATACTGAGCTCTAAACCACACTGCTCCCTGAGTTGAGGAATTAATTCCTCTTTTGATTGCCGTACAGTCATTCCTTTAGCAAACACAGCATCTAGCAGAAACTTGCATGGCTAGGAATATAAACATCATCAGAGAACTGAATTACACATTCAAATAGGAATATACGAGACATTTTATTTGCACTTTATTGTGTGACAATTAAAGGCCCGAGTTTAGCAATCTATCTTCCTAGGTTCAAATCTTGCCATCAGTACTTACTAACTCTGCTATCTTGAGCAAGTTTACTTAACATTTCTATGCCTCCATTTTTTCATCTGTACACTGGGGACAGTGTCTCCCTCACAGAGTCATTATGAAGATTAAATGATAGTCCTATTTCTCTTCTTATAACAAAATGATCACAATTTTGAAAGTAGAAAGAATTACTTTTATGGACTAAAATGAGGGAAATGCGTAGTAATTCTCCAAATACATTTACTCATTGTCTCAGAAGGGACACGGTCTCTGCAAACTCCAAACTTGGAAGAAACATTCACACAGAAGAGATATGATAGATGCTCAATAAAACATCTGTTGAACAAATGAAGGCATTTTAGGAAGAGTTTATCCCCTTCCAGTAGTCCCTCTTTATTCATGGTTTCCCGTTCTGCCTTTCCAGTTACTTGTAGCCAAATGGAGTCTGGAAGCAAATGATCCTCCTCCTGACAGATCGTCAGAAGGTCCCTAACAGCCTAATGCTACACTGTAATAGTCACAATGCCTATGTCATGCACTGTCACTGCACCTCACCACACAGGCATTTTATCATTTTGTATCACCACAAGAAGGGAAAACACAGCACAGTAAGATATTTTGAGAGACCACATTCACATACCTTTTATAACAGCATACTGTTAAAACTGTACTATTATTGGTAATTGTTAATCTCTTACTGTGCCTAATTTGTAAATTAAACTTTATCAACGTGTGCATGTCTAGGTAAAAGCATAGTGTATGTAGGGTGTGATACTATCCGCGGTTTCAGGCATCTACATTGGGACGGACCTTGGAACACATCCCCTGTGGATGGGGAGGGCGGGCCATTATTATATTTGTTGTTTGGTTTTCACACTTATCTAGGTCCTCGGTAATATGTTATAAACATCCTGAAAACAGGGATTTTTGTCTCTTTCTTCAGGGTATTTGCCATTGCTTGGCATCTGTTGTATGACCTTGGGTAAATTGCATAATTTCTTTGTACCTAAGTTTCTTTATCTATAAAATGGGAATAATAAATACTGCTCATATCACAGCTAATTGGTGAGGATTAAAGAAGTTAATATCTGCGAGCATATGGTAAATGCTGCTAGGTCAAAGCTTGCTAAATACTAAAACTACTCTCGGAACCAAAGTCCTGTACGAGGACGCCACAGATCAACTGCTGTCCTGTACTTCGTGCTCCTGCACTACATGATTATTTGTAGAAAACAAGCACAAACAAATCCCCTTTTAAAAGCAGGACATTTTTGCTTCACTCTAGCATTTGTAGTAACTTTAAAGCAGAGGGATGGCAAAAAAACAAAACAAACAAACAAACAAACAAACAAAAAAACCCAACAATGCCTGAGAGCCACTTCATCTGCTGCTTATGTTTATAAATTAAATTTTACTGGGACATACCTAGTCCCACTGGTTTATGTATTGTCTGTATCTGCTTTTGTACTACAGTGGCAGGAACGAGTAGCTGCAACAGAGGCAGTATGGCCTGCACAACTGAAATATTTTCTGGAAATAGTGCGCTGGCCTCTGCTTTAAGAGATAAAATGACTTGTCATAAAATCTCTGCACCGTATGTTTTCGTTAAATACCAAAAGCGATCTTACATTGCTCTGAAGGGTATTACTTACCTCTTGCTCATTGACCAGAAGCTGGTACACTTTAACTCTGTATTCTCCTTTTTTAAGTGCTCTCCCCAGTCTAATTGTAATCTATAAAGTAGAACATTTTTTAGATGTATTATCTCAGGAGAATAAGCAACCCATTCTCCCCACATTGTTTAGTTTGGTCTTCAAAAATTCTCTAGATTATGGACTCTTTGAGAACAGGTATATCTTTTACCTCTGATTCCCAGCACCTAGAATAGTAACTGACACACAGTTAACATTTAACAAATGTTTGTTAGATGAATGAAGAAAAACAACAACAAAAACAAATAACCACTAAACATAAAAATAAAAAGACCCTTTAGGGTTATCTATTTCACCTTACTTGGAAATAGGGCAAGATGTTCTCAAATCTATCATTTAAAACAGACTCTAATTATTCAAAATTATTTTAATCAACCTTATTGTCATCTGAAAATGATGAAAGTGTCTCATTCAGTCGGACGCTCTCAAACTCTTGATTGCTGGCATACACTCGAAAGACCTTGAAGTGAGAGGACAAAACTCCAACAAAGGGCTCTAAATGTTGTTTGAAAGCGGCCAGAGTAATTCTTTTATCAACATGCACCATCAACCCTAAGTACAAAAAAACCAAAACAAAACAGAAACAAAAAATGTAAAAGAAACCTCTTAGAATATAAATAAAACAGATCATATGCTTTTTATTTTACTGTAAGCAGGAAAAAAGTACCCCCTTTTAGTTATTTGACTTTTAGCTCATACACAACATTGAATGGACAAAAAACATGGACACTGAGCATATGATAGATAGATAGAATCCAACAGCTTTGAATGTTCAGAGATATTTCAGTTCTTATTTGTTTATTTAGGCTGCTGAATTCCAAACCAAGCTTGCAGGAATTTTTCAATTACATAACATCTCTAGTTCTACACAGTAATAATGTGGCTCTGGCTGGGGTCCACACCTGCTTTTCTCCTCCTTCCTAATTAGCTCTGTGACGTCTGGGAGCAAGCCCCCAACCTCCATACATCCACTTCTTCATTTAGACAATGGAGAGAACAGCACCTGCCTCATGGGAATGCAGTGGGAATTCAAAGAGGTCATAGTTTTATCATGCTCTTAGCACAGTGTCAGTTATCTAGTAATTGCTTCAGAAATTGTTAGTAAATCTAGTTTCGGGATTTCTACTAGAATAAAAACGTCAAGACTAGCATATGAAGATGTCTGTTTATCATGCGGTTGGACTGTAATAGGAAGAGTATCTAAATGGATCAGAAACTCCCACTTCTTCCAAATTTCCATAAAAGCTCTCATGGCAATGTAGTAAGATTATTTTTGGTGAGGTTTACTTTTTTTCCTAATGCTTATTACTCTTTTGTCCTTTATAAGCCACTCATCAGCATATTTCTGGAATATTTCTATTTACTCTGGTCTTCATATTAAAAGAACAACAACTGGGGTGCCTGGGTGGCTCAGTGGTTAAAGCCTCTGCCTTCTGCTCAGGTCATGGTCTCAGGGTCCTGGGATTGAGCCCCTCATCGGGCTCTCTGCTCGGCAGGGAGCCTGCTTCCTCCCTCTCTCTCTGCTTGCCTCTCTGCCTACTTGTGATCTCTGTCAAATAAAAAAAAAAAAAATCTTAAAAGAACAACAACTTCACTCATTTTTCTCTGTCTCTTACAATAGGCAGTACAGAATACACAAGCTACCTTCTGCCGTGGGGCCCTGGGTCCTCCAGAGCCATAAACTCTTAAGCCTCTCTCTAGGGTAGGCTTTGGTTTTCTATGAAACTTACATCACTAGTCAAGGATGAGACCCTAAAACAAGGCTGGCTTATGTTCTCAGGTCATCTCAACTTTTGGGTCAATTCACTTTTGAGTGGACTTTTTTGAATAAATTAATGTTCATTTACTGTTTTCCTGGTTGTAAGGTTCAGATCCACTATAGAAAAGGTAGCAAGTATGAATTATAATAGAAACACCGTGATGAACTTTCTTGTTATATACACCTTTTCAGGCAGCATTTAATTTTTTTAAAACGTCCATTTCTAAACTTTAAGGAGTGCCCCTGAATGTTAATAATCCAGCTTTTGGCAAATAAGCCTCTATTTATACTACCCAGAAGGTGCAACATTTCTTAAGAAGCGTATAATGAAAAAATAAGTTGATTAGAAATCAGACACCAAGGAGTAGGTTTCAGCTTTGCTACTGTTGCCTAATAAATGGCTATCAGTAAGTCATCAACGTCTCTGAGCCTCAGTTTTCTCATGGGATCATTACACCAGTCTCACTGCTGTCATGACAAATGTAGCAAATTCTAAATCATTGCTCAAATAAGCAGCTACTACTGCCATTTCAGTTTCTGTGATAACTTGTAGTAATGTATCATGGGAAGACACAAGTGTTCACTGGTTACTGATATAGTCCAATATGGTGATTAGAACCAAGTGGTTCTGCAGTGAAACAGCCTGGCCTGAATGAATTCCTGCCTCCTCCTACATCAGATTTGTGACTCTGATTTAACTTCTCTGTACTTCAGTTATCTCTAGTATAAAATGGAGACAAGAGTCTTTATAACCTCATGTGTTTTGGGGTCAGTATATGTAAAATGCTTAACACAGCCCTGGCCAAAATGGATGGCTTCATTGATTGGCTATAACTATAATTTAGAAATTACCATCATACCATTTTTCCCATTTACCTCTTCAAATGGAAGAGTTAAGTCTCTTCACAGTGCAACCTCAAAATAGCTTTAAGTTTTTTCTTTTTCTTTATGTATTTCTTTTTTTTTTTTTAATGTATTTCTTGGATGAGGCAGTAACCAAAATTGTACAAAGAACTTTTCAGTGCAAATGCAGTGCCATTTTTATGACTTTGAACTCCCTATCTATACCTGAATGCCTGAAGACCACAACTAGGTCACAGTGGAACAGGATTTTCCGAGAAAGGTCTATAATCACTCCCTGAAACAATTCCCGGATTACAATAGATTAAGTGTGTTTCAGTTATTACCTAAATCAATTGCCTATACTATACACAGAATGTTATTCTTCAGGTATCAAGTTCTTCCTTTGTCTATGATGCCTTGCCATTTCATCCCTCTGCAGAATCCGTATTATATTCATTATCCACGTTACCCAGACACCCACGTTCACATCACTGAGGAACTGTGATGAACCAGCCTTACTTAGTACAGACTCCTGAAACACCTGGCTGCTGGCTAACATCCCCACTCTTCTCCTTCTATGCCAGTTTCCATGGTTTTCACTTTTTCTTTTCAAAGACAAACAAGCCTTCTGCATGGCTTCTGAAAGGTGAAATAAACTGTAGGAAATGGGTTCTCTTGATCATGTTTACTATTTCAATAAATGCTAGCAAATTAGTCCACTGCAAATTTCCAAAAAGGTGGAATGAGACTCCTCAGACTATAATTCTAAGTATTACCATTAAATTCTTAAGGTTGAGACTCTCATGCAGTCAAATATCCAGCACATCATTATAAAACAAACCACTTAAAAGAAATTTCTAACCTTTTCCTAAAGAGGAGCTACTTCACATTTTTCCAGTACCCTAGAAGGGTTGAGGGTGGTAAGAAACCAAGTAACAGAAGCTACTAGCTATTCTTCCTTTACTATGATATGAGGAAAGTAAGGGGCAGTGGTAATAGCTACAAGGTAGAGGAATGCATATCAGGCTTACAGTCAGAATACATGAGTTTGATCCCAGCAATGAGACCCACTAGCTGTGTGACCTCTGGCAAATTATTTTAGCCAGTCTGAGCCAGCTTCTTCATCAGTGAAAGTGTCTAACATTATCAAATTCACACAGTTGTAGAGAACTAAATGAAATAAAGTAAGTTAGTGAGCCTTATGCAGTAAAAACTCCACAGGACGTTAAAGCATTAGTACAGAATTTCTGTCTCCAATGTGGCTCACCAATCCATATTTTCCCACTTGAGTTTCTGCAAGATATGTATATGGATGTCACATGGCTTTGCTATTATTTGGAACTAGTTAAAAACACAATTTATGTATTTTTATAACTAATTCCATAATTTCTACCACTTTTAAAAGACTAAATTTTGAGACTACCAGCATCATAGCACTTAACTTTCATACTGGTTGTTTGTGTCTTCTCCCACCAGATGAGACTTAACGCTTTATCTTTGTCATCCTTACTTCTAAAATCTACATAGGGACTGGCATCTTGAACAGATCCAGGAATATTAATTGGGTGGGTGTATCAACAGATGGATAAAGAGGGGGGACTCCGCTCCCACTGTCACAGAGGTAATGGAGCAAAGGTATTCAATTCAGACTTAAATTCTAGTAATGGTTCTGCTACTTACTAGCTATAGATGTACTTTTGGGCAAGTCATTCTTATCAGTCAAATGAGAATATCAATATTTGCTTTATTAATCTCAGACAAGCTTCAAGTGAGAACAAACAAGTATTTTGAAAACTAAAATATAAAAATATAAGGGGTAATATTAATGTTTGCATTGTTAAAGACTAATGCAAAGTATTTAGCTTTTTTGAGCTATCCCTTATAATAAACCTAAAGAAAAATTCTGTATTTTGAACCTGGTTGTCCTGCTAATTCTCTGGTTGTTTATAGTCTGATGTTTTATAAAAGTTGTTTTATTTCAATGCTGGTGTTTTGTTGTTGTTGCTTCTCCCAAAGCCCAAACTGACAGATCTCTTTAATCTTTTTGTGATTATACAATTGAGAATTTCTAGTTTATACTCTGCCTAGAGCTTACTTCATAGTATCAACTTTTTTTCCCCAAAGTATCAACTTAAAAAAAAGAAAAGCCCCTTTCTCTTTCCTGACTTTCCCAGTTACTTACGGACTATTTAGGGGGTGTTGGAAGGGAGTTATCTGCATTGCAGGATAAAGAAAAAAGAGAGAATGCACAAATAAAAAAATTTCCTGCACTGTGAATCAAATTTTCTAGTGTCTGGCCCTTTCTTTTTCTTTTTGGTATTATTATTTACTTTTTAAGCTATTCTTTAATTTTTTTACTTAGTACTTCTATCATAATTCTTTCCTTTAAAAAATTCTTAATTCCTTTCTCTTTTTCGCTTTATCATCTCCAAAGCTGTGACATCACTGCTGTCACAGGTCTGATGTGTTGCAGAAGTCCAAGAACACTTGCTACTATAACTGCACCTAAAATGAAAGCAAAGGCAACAGAGGACATTTTTATAATCCAGGAAATTACGGGTGGTCTTAGAACAAAGTACCTCTTAGGTGATTCTTTTAACTAAAAATTTAAATAAACTGAGAAAACAAGTGGTGCTGTTTCAAGAAGCCTTTTTCTTTCTAAGTACATACATTTATGTCCTTCCCCAGAACCTTCGTCTGCAGCATAGGGTTCTGCTTTGAAATACATGTACTGTATTTCTCCCCTGCTCTTGCCACTCTCATCGTATTCACTATCAGTTCCAGAGTCTTCTTCTGCTGTGTCCCATGTCTCTTTTTTCCCTTCATTTGCTTTAGTTCTTCTACTACTCGTGATGCTATGAGAGTCAAGTCCATTAGCCAAAGGAATCTGAGCATTATCTGCATTGCACAAAGTGTCACTGCTATGACTGGAGCTAAGAATGTCACTGTCCACTGAACTTGTACTCCTGTCATTATTCACATCTGAGTCTGACCGTTCTTCAGACTGAAAATTTTCAGGATCAGAAGTCTGAATGTGCTGTTCAAGTTCTCTATTGTCCACTGACGCTGAAGAGTCCCTCTCATTGAGAGGTGATTCTATGTTTTCAAAGTCACTTGTCTCAGTACTTTTGCTGCTGTCCCCATTATCTCCATCTTGCTGCTGCTGTAGTGACAAGCTTTTGAGTTTTTCAGTGCTTTCTTCTAGAATAGCATCCACAGACTTTAGGCTCCCCGCAGGTCCTTTAACTCTTTCACAGTCATCTTCTACATTACCAGAATCGCCCCCAGCTTTCTGGCATGCTGTCCTTTTGGAATAAGATCCTGGGGACTGTTCAGGTAACAAAACAAATAATCTGATCGTATTTGCATGACGATCCAGGAGTTTCCACAAATGAGAGTCTGCAAAGGCCATCTGGTAATCCAAAGTCTCAGAACTTTCAACAAACACCTAAATAGTAAGCCAAAGAGTTATGTTACATCATTAATTTTAGTGACATTCATTCTTGTTCATAATATCACCTCAATACAAGACCGTGCATAATAAATTATAAAATTTGGGATAACATTTCTAAAGGGAATGTGCACTGTTTTCAGAGACTAAATAAAATTAACATTATGTTCATATGTCTCTGCAACTAGCCACAAAACTGCTAAGACAGATGGGACACACACATGCACAGACACATACACAGGTATCTTGTTTACTGGGTTGCCCATTTTCAGAATGTTTTTGTACTCCATATCTTGCCCATTAGGAAAACAAGTTCAGCAGGAATACAGATAGAGGAACATGTATAAAGACATGTTGAGAATGCAATACCAAAATCCAGATTATAGAAAAAAAAAATCTAATGGACAAATGACTTGATTCTAGGGCAAATAACTGGCAAGGAAACAAACACAGGGAGAAGCTTTAGATTAAAATAAACTTAAGAGGTGTATCATGGACTTCATTTGGATCCTATCTGAACAAACAAATCTTATCAGAAAAAAATTTTACAATATAATCAGGGAAATTTGAATATTGACTAGATATCCATTGATATTAAGGCATTTCTGTTAATTTTCTAGATGTAATAATTATGGATATGTTTTTTAAAAAGTTCTCACCTTTGAGAGATATATATTCAGATTATTTATAGAACATTTCATCTGGGGATGTTTTTCAAATAATCTGGTGGTTATATAAATCAAATGAGAGTTGATAACGGTTCAATAAAAGTTACAAATCAGGACTATTAGCTGACCATTTAAAGAAAAAAAGTGTGATACCTTCCACTTTTCACCACAGAGCGGCATTAGGATGGATTAGAGATTTTAATGACACACACACAAGCACCATGCAAAAGTATCCAAAGAAAACAGAGGTCAATAAAAGTTACACATTGGGATTAATATGACAACACTAAAAAAGATTCAGTGAGATAAAAGACTCAAGACTGCATTAAGATGAATGAGACTGGAAAAGGCAATAAACAAAACATGGCAAACAAGGAAAATTTTGGATACAATTTACCTAGAGTAAACTGATGGCATTAGGAATAAACACACAGGAAAAATGATAAATGACAGAACACAGAATGGTATCGAGAGGTACAAACAAATCAATGGAACTTTCTCTTTACTATCAGAGATAAATAAGAAGAGAAAGGGAATAATGGTGGGTGAACCCAAAATGACAGTCTTCTCTAGAGCAGGCATGTCTTTGATTTTCACCATTAAGTACTGCTTTATAGGAGAACCTCAAGAATGAATATAACATAATTCCCAGAACTCATTAATTCAAGAATTCAGAGAACATGACTGGTGTGGATAGAAACAGTCACTAAGGCTCCACCAAAGAGGCAGGACTAATCTGGGGCTTGAAAAACAAACGTAGGGAGAAGGGAAAGAATACTATAGGCTGGGGTCGCTCATGAACAAGACACAGAGGAGAACCAGCAGGACTGACTGAGAAGGACAGAAAGAAGCCCGATATGAGCGATTACAAAGGAAGATAATTACTGAGAGGATAGGAGAATTCACAAGGTAAATTAAAGACAAATGGTGGATAGCTCTAGAGGCCAGCCTTAAAATATAAAACTTTATTATTACCAGCATGAAAATAATGAAAAACTAAAAGACGTACCTTGTTACTTCTAAAAAAGCCTTCAGCTTTCAGGGTCTTACTGGGCACAGTGAGAAGACGCAGATCATTGTAGCAGCGTTCCAGCACTATCCGCATTGTTTCAGCAGGTAAGTAGATGGCCTGTAATGGAAGTGATCTGATAAAAAAGGACTGCGAGGATAATTCTGCTTGACTTGGAAATGTGGACAATGAGACACTGCTGAGTTCTTAGAAACAGCAGAAAGAAAATTCAGAGAAAACAATTTTTGTAGAGGTTTACAAAATTTTTAAGAATCTGTGGAAAAATTTTAGTCTTATCCATTAATTATGTTGTAAATTAGGTGAACAAAGTATCACTTATAAAGGTATGCTCTCAAACTACTTTTATGGTAATGATTTTTCACTAAAAATTATATTCCTCTCATACTTGCAAAGTAAATGAGGTGATCTGGTTCCAACGAAACAGAATGGCTAACTCTCGAGTAGAAGTCAAGCCAATACCTGTTTAACTTCTGAAATTTTGATGGATTATTTTGTGTTGTGTGAACAGTTAATACTTTTCTAAATCATTTTTCTTCTGTATAAAGTGATATTATTAATAAAATTTAAAGCTCTTCTAAAATTACATATCCTTAATTTGAGGTGTCATTATAGGAATTTCACAAGAAATGAGCAGACAAAAAAATTTATGTTTTAAAAATATGATTTGTGCTGAGAATTGTGTAAGACTGATGAATCAAAGACTTGTACCCCTGAAACAAATAATACATTGTATTAATTTAAAAAATAATAAAATTCAAAAAAAGATTTGTTTTCAATACAACTAATGATAATTCTTAGGTAGTCTACTTATGCTTTACCCACTGCATTTCTTGGCAGAATATTTTGTAACTGCCTTTATTCTCTAGAGACATATTTTTCCCCAACAAAATTACTAGGTTTTTTTCTGGGAAAGGAACATCACGTGTTTCTTTTATATTCTACCTCAGGGCTCATACTCTAGATTAAACTATAATACAGAGCAAGTACACTAATGTAGCCATTTTATGAGCAATTTAATCGTAAAATGTAACTCCACAACGCGGTTTATCTCCCCAGTTATTACTCAGGCAGAAGTGTTAGAAGTTGTTCTTTGTTAACACAGTAATAATTAATACCAATAATAGTTAAACCCAACTTTTATATAATACTTAACATTTTTTTCCCCACAAACGAAGCATTTATTTGTTCCATTAACATTCACAATAACCCTGTTAAAGTAGGCATTAAAAAACTTCAGATGAGATAAAAGACAATATTGCCATAAAATGAATGACTGGAAAATGGATCAACTTCTTGTTGCTATTACTGAACAATTTCCACTACACCAAGGCATCTGACCCTAAGGCTTTAGAACCCTAAACAATTTTACCAATGTTTGTGTGCTCAGTGTTTTATAGAGTACAGTATAACCATTTTATTTGGAGTGGACTAGTTTTTTGTCCAAGGAAATTTGAATGTTTTCATCATACTTTTCCAGCCCCAAAATTCTGAATGAGTCTATGTTCTTTATCACTAACTCACTGAATGTGGTCAATATTTAACTCATCATTTTCCCTGTCAAATCTGCTCCCCCACCCTACTCTTCTATTTCTATCACTAGATCACTATGCCTTTGCGGTTACTCAAGCGTGCAACTCCCCAAGTCATCTGTGCTCCTTCCTGCCTTACTCCAACCAATCATAAGTCTGGCAGATTCTATTTATAGAATCATCTTAACAATCTAAACCTTCTCTCATTTCTGGTCCTATGCCTTCACCTGAGTTATTTCAACACCTTCCTCATCTACATTCCTGTCTCCCCCTCTATCCATGTGGAATACCAGTCTAGTGCCACCAGACTTAACCATTCTACAGCAGAGCTCTCATCATACCACTGCTGTGCTTAGGAAAACAAACAAATATCCTACTTCCTATTGCCTACATCAAATACAATAGTGTTTAGTACTTAAAGACCCTCCATGAAATAAACCACCTTTTCTTTCTAGGCAGGTACTTGACAGAGAGCCAGCCAAACACATGTGCCCTTGCTATGTGCACTTGCCTCACACATCCTCACCTCCATACTGTGGTCAATTGATGTCTTCCGCTCAAAGTGTCCTTCTCTTCTAACTAAACTTGCCTCCTGCCAGTAAAAATCAGTTCCTATACCTTACTCAAACCATCACATGATGCTTTGTACAGAGCAGGCACTCAAAAATACTCCCTGGCCTATTTTAAAACTTACCTTTGAAATAAGTTGTTTGAACTCTGTGACTGTTTGATTTAAGTAAGCACGAACGGTGACAGGAGCAGCTACAGATTCTGCCTTAAGATCAACAACATGAACTTTCACCATCACTTCTGTCCCATTTGAAAAACATAAAAACATAACTGCAGGTTATTTTCAAAAATACCTTTCACATGAGCACTGCACTTTTTATGTGTTTCCAATAGATGGCAAAGATAACATTTTTCTAATTATCAAGATGGTAAACATACAATGTTATACATGTATATAATACAAGTTAAAATTATTCTTTCACAATTTGTCACATTACAAACATCTGCAAAGAAATGGAAATGAAGCTTATGAAAATGTTCTCTCGACATCTCTTTTTAAAACAGTGACAACAATCAAAATATGATTTTTAAAAAATACATGCTTTGTTTCCTTGTAAAACGTAATACACTGTAAAGCTTATCAAGCGTATTAAAAATATCCAAAGTTCCAAAGTACAAACCCAAACCACAACACTAAATAAATAGAAACAGAGAAAGCAAAACAAATTCTAAAGGGGACACAGCAGCCCTACTTGCTTTTGAACAACCTTCATTATACCACTCAAGACCTTGTTCATAATTAAAGACTTCCTCTCTTCAAAATATTCTCTACATTCTACAGAAAATTCTACTGCTTTGGTTTACATGGTTTGTTTTTTTTTTTCACTTAAATTCTTCATATTACAATATAACCCTATGTCTTCCTCTTCTGTTTTCAGATTATATATAACTAAACTTTTAGTCACTAGAAAAACAAATGATCTTCGAACACTATGGTTATTCTCTGCCTTAACTGTTTTAATTTCTTTTATGACGTATACATAAATCCTCAGTTTTTTCCCTAAGTTCCTAATCTAAATCTGACAAAATATTCTGCTAAAATCTTTATTACTAATGAGCAGAGAGTACTTTATCTGTAAGTTTAACAATCCACACACAGACTTAGAGATTTCTTGTTAAAAAGTGGTTTCGTTCCTGATTTGTGTTACACTTTAATCATAATTTTTGCTATCTAGCCCAAAAATAATCTGCAAGGAAATGCTCCAAAGGAACTCCTTACAAACAGAGCAGAGTCTGACTGATGGAGCCCTTAAAAGAATGCCATACTTAATGTACTTTGAAAAGAGATGCTTTGAAAAAAATTTTTTTAAAAAGAGAGGTATATAGAATCCACAGAGGAAAGGTATTTAGAAGAGTAGAAGAAGGTTTTGTAAGTTCAATTTTTAGGAATAAAAGAAGAAAACATAAGTCTGAATTCCAATTATAATCGATGCAAGGGATTTAGGGTCACAACAATAGTAAGAATTCTCCAAGATTATTTAAACACTTTGTCCCTCATTTGTTACAGTTTACATTTAGTGATTATTGGAAGAGTTTAGACATGTAACTCTCTTTAAGTCCTACCCTGGGTATAGGTAGGGGCATGGTATTCTGCTTTCCAGGTCAGTCTCAAACAAACAAAGTAACTCCCAAGATACTGAGGAATGTGATATATTAAATGAAGACAGAAAAAGCTGAAGTCCCTGGGACCGGTAGAAATGGAGAGGATGAAGAAAAATAAAGAGTGTTGGCAGTGATACTTATAAAACCACCTCTTCAAGGAGACTCTGAAAAATAGACTATTTCTGAGACTTTACGGGAATATACTTTTTGGGGACCAGGATCTCCTCTGTAAGTAGAAGGAGTAGGGAACAGGAGGAGAGAAAGGAGGATGATTCAGCACTTAAAGAGGAAAGTCCCACTGAAAACTACAAGCTTAAAAAACCCCTATTTTAAAAAATTTTGTGTATATAGCTCTTTGAAAGTAATCTAGAACGTAATCACAAGCTTGTTGCTTAACCTATCAAAATTATTCTGCATCTCAAGAATATATAAAAATTTAAAATTAAATTCATTTCTATTAACAAAAAACCTTCTCATGAAAATTTTAAGTTCGGTACAACTCAAAATGCCATAAAATTCTTTACCTCCAGGTTTATAAGATTGGAAAACTTGATCAGGCTTTCTCGTCTCCAACAGCAGATCAAACATGTATGTTGACTTGACTCCTCCTAGCAGAAGTCCCATAGGTGTATCTTCTTCTCCTTCATACGATCGTTCAAGATAATCATGAAACTCGTCATATTTAACAAGGCGACAGCAATCCATGGGTATGACCTCTTCTAAATCCATCATCTAAAAGAAAATGACACCCAAGAAAAGAGAAAAAAATATGCATGGTATTTTAGTCTGATGTGTAATTGCACTACCAATACACCCAAACAAACAATAAAATCCTAGATTTATGATTTGCATCAGAGCTCAAAGACATCAAAGTTAAAGGTACAACGTCAATGCTGTTTTTAAGTAACCATTATTTCATTATCCCCCGAATCATACAACTTACGCACCATCAAATTTTAAAGATATTTCTGGTTTTAAAGAAAGTTAACATTCTAAACTTCAGACGGACTCAAAATCAATGTAATATAAGCTGTTGCTCTATAATCGTTATGTTGGAACCTCAGGGAGAACGACCAGTGAGAGTATGTGGCTTCTGTTTATGAATCCAATCTGGAGAAGAACTGGTGTCTGACATGTTTGGGTCTGACCCTCTTGCTAAGGGTAGGGGGAGAGCATGCCTTGCAGAGTCACCACAGAGGCCACAGCTCCTTATAATTACATAAATAAATATAAACAGAGAAAACAAAACAAATTCTAAAGAGGACACAGCAGCCCTACCTGCTTTTGAATAACCTTCTAGCTGCCCCGTGCAGGTAGCTCCCTTTCCAGATCAGCCTCCCCAGTACCTACAGCTCAGGGCACAGGAATTTCTGTCACAAATTTCCCTCTAACTCATGTCACTGGTAGATGGTGTACTCTGGACACAACATCTCTTCAGTGAGAAATGAACTGCCTGGAGACACACAGGATTACTTCAAAGTATTTCATACTTATCTAAGGTTTGTAATTATGACTTTCAAGAAAAACAGTAAACCTTGGTGTGTGTCCCCACTGACCTCTATTCACTCTTCAACTCTCCCCAAAGTTAGAACTCTCCTTCTGGTACATAAAACTGATTTATTTCTCTCTTCTGTTTGTTTGATTCTTTATACTTATGAACTTTTACTTCCTATTTTTTTTAAAGATTATATTTATTTATTTGACAGAGAAGTCCCAAGTAGGCAGAGAGGCAGACAGAGGGCGAGAGGGAAGCAGGTTCCCTGCTGAGCAGAGAGCCGGATGTGGGGCTCAATCCCAGGACCCTGAGATCATGACCTGAGCTAAAGGCAGAGGCTTAACCCACTGAGCCACCCAGGCACCCCTTACTTCCTATTTTTAAGACATTTTTTATCCTTCCTGCATTAAAAACTGCTGGAATATAAACTACCGTTAGTGTTATCACTGATCATAAAACTGTTTAGGTAAGATGTTTTCTCCATTTTAGTCTGATTTGGTTTCCCTACTGTTTGCAAAGATGATGCTTGGAGTCCAACACTGTCTTTAAAGGATTTTTACTTTTAATAAGGTAAATCCAGAACCATCCATCCATTTTACTGTTTGGTCATTCATTTACTTATCCACATACCCATCCAAATTTTGATTCTCCTGCATACCAGGTAAAAGTATTGAAAATGTGATTGTGAGCCATACCCTTTTAAGTGTTTACAGTTCAAATGAGGACCAGTGGCATTAATTACAACAGTCACACAATCAAATGTGGATCACACTTTGAGAAATGTCTGTTATCTTGTGTACTATTTTTAGTTCTCTCATTGGTTCTATATATAAATTATAAATGAAATGACACGATTTTTTCTCTAATGACTTTCAGTTCAGTGTTAATATTTATATGGAAAGGGCAAAAATATTTTTAATTTGTTAAGTATAACAGATGACATTTAGAACAATCTGATTAAAGAACGCTTCCCTTTCAATTCGACTTTCAAAACCCACTAACAACTTCCCATTATTCTTAGAATTGCAAACTTCTACTCATACAAGTCATACAAAGTCTCTAATTTGATATTATGCTATTCTCATTCAAGACAATCTGAACACAATGTCCCTTTTTTTCAGTTTTCTGATCATGCCCGCCACATCCCCATCTCAGTTTTTATATATGTTGTCATCTCTACTAAAATATTCTCCCCTAACTTCTGGCAAAGCTGTTTCCTTCTCATGGTTAACGTCTTAGGAGAAATAATCTCAATATACTACTGATTTACTTTATAACATCTAAACAGTAACATATTTGCAAATTGTAGAAGGTTCTCAATACATATCTTCTAAATGAATGAAAAGAACAAATATTTTTGTTTCTAATTCTAATTCTTGTTCTACAAAACTGAACTGGCTTTCAGAATGAGCAGTTCCTCAAACTCCACTGAGTATGGTCCATAGGAGAGGTGTAAACTACACCTCTGAGAGAGACAGATGCCATCAATGGGCTATCAACATGACTGCAAATGCTTGTATTACTACTGATTCTAATAACAATTTTGAAAAAGATGTTAATATTGTTATCTGAGATGTAGATACTGTCCAACAGTGCAATTAAACATACCTTATAAGCCATCTCTACTGCTTCCTTTAATGTCTTATCCTTATGAACCTCCAATTTATTCTCCATCATTACTTGTTTCACAGGATGCAAACAGAATAATTTTATCTAGAAAATGTAAAATAGCATCACCTCAGCAGGTCATGAATCAAAACGTAATTCTTTTGCACACAGCATTTTTTCCCCTAATAGTCAAAATATTGCAATTTTTAAAAGATTCATTTCTTTTAGAGAGAGGGTGACAGAGTGACAGAGAGAGTATGTGAGAGAGCAGGAGCGAGTGAGCAGGGAAGGGGCAGAGGGAAGGAGAGAATCTCCAGCAGTCTCCCAGCTGAGTGCAGAGCCCAACACAGAGCTTGACCCCACAACCCTGAGATCACAACCAGAGCTGAAATTAACAGTAAGCTGTTCAATCAATTGAGCCACCCAGGCACCATAAAATATTGTAAATTTTTAAAAAAGATTTTATTTATTTGAGAGTGAGCAAGCGAGAAAGAGAGAGAGGAGGAGCAGGGGGAGAGGCAGAGGGAAAGGGAGAAGCAGACTCCCTGCTGAGCAGGGAACCTGAAGTGGGGCTCGATCCTGGAACTCTGGGATCATGACCTAAGCCAAAGGCAGACACTTAAATGACTGAGCTACCCAGGTGCCCCAAATATTGTAATTTTTAAAAAACATAATTGAGATCATTCTCCCCTATGTCTATTTTTCTTAGTAATTGACAGTGACGATCTCTCCCAAAAAAAGAATTCAAAAACATTAATTGTAACAACTGTACTTTTCTTGATAAGCATGTATCACAATTTAAATAATCATTCTTCTACTGCTATACTATACACTGTTGTTTCAAATTTTTCTCTAATTTGGAAGATATCGTGATAAATGTCCTTGTGGTCAAAATTTTTACAGCATGCATGGTTATCTCATTAGGTATTTCCTTAAGAGAATTATATAAAAATACATAAATTTGCTTAAGGCTCTTGATAAATTTTACTCAGTTTCTATGCAATAAGGTCTTTACCAGTTTATTATTCTATAGCAGAATGTGACAATGTTCATATCATTGTAACCTTACCAGCACTTAGTATTATTACTATATGTTAGTGGGGTTTTTTGTTTTGTTTTGTTTTTAAAGATTGTATTTATTTATTTGACAGAGAGAGAGATCACAAGTAGGCAGAGAGGCACGCAGGGAGAGAGAGGAGGAAGCAGGCTCCCTGCTGAGCAGAGAGCCCGATGCAGGGCTTGATCCCAGGACCCTGAGATCATGACCTAAGCCGAAGGCAGAGGCTTAACCCAAGGAGCCACCCAGGTGCCCCTATGTTAGTGTTTTTTGGTTTTTTAAAGATTTTATTTATTTATTTGACAGAGAGAGAGAGAGAGAGATCAAAAGTAGACAGAGAGGCAGGCAGAGAGAGAGGGAGAAACAGGCCTCCCGCCGAGCAGAGAGCCCAATGCAGGGCTCGATCCCAGGACCCTGAGATCACAACCCGAGCCGAAGGCAGAGGTTTAACCAACTGAGCCATCGAGGCGCCCCCCGCCCCATGTTAGTGCTTTTCAATGCACAAAATAAAACCATACCTCACCTCAGTAATATAGGTGGTTACATTGCTTAATGATCATGATAGCATAACTGTCTACAGAATCAATCCAATGAGTATGTCATGAGAATTGCAGTCAAGCAAACTTCAATAGCACTTTTTAATTAAAAGTAAAATTATGAAATCTAACCTTGCATGTATTGCGCTCAATTTCTCGTTGCCTTTTTTCTTGTTCTTCTAATTCTCTTTCTCTCTGCACCAAGTTTTTAATATGTTCTGGATATTCATCTACTTCTAGAAATTCTATTGTAATAAAAACAGGGCAAGACAGAGTCATTGGAAATTGATCTTCCTTTACTTAATTTTATTCTATTATGTGCCCATAGTATATACTTCCACAACAGTTCTCATCAAAATATATCTCAATTACACCAGTCTCTCAACTTGGAACATCAGCTTCTTGCAGACAAGGGTGAAGAGGTAGTTGATAATGGCATATGATTAGGCCTCATATTTTAAAAAGTCATATATTTAATCCATATTATCTCTTGGTTCTACAAAAACTCTAACATGTAGATTAAGACTTCTAGAATGAAAAGCCTCTCTGAAACTTGGAAATAAAATCATTTCTGATTTCAAACTGTGCTATCACCAACAAACCATGTGACCGAGGGCAAGTTTACTTGTCCAGACCTCAATTTCTTCAGCTTATTAGCAGCACGTAACCCACAGAGTAACTACCTGGGATATAATAAAATGTAATATAAATGCTGTTGCTACTGCTACTACTACAATGGTATTTATTTATTATTACTAATATACTCATCTTTTCTTTGTTCTCAAAGCAATCTTTAGCTACCATCTATTTGCAGAATTTTATATGCAACTCAAAATATTAAAAGTGACAATATGAGATTCTAACACTATTTAGTAAACCAATGATTACTAGGCATTAAATAAGGAGAAATATATATATAAATATGTATATATAGAGAGATTATATATATAAATATGTGTGTGTGTATATATATATATAAATATATATATAAAATCACATCCCTGTGAAAGTCAAAATCCACTATTCTAGAAATGAGCTGTAACTGCAAAAATATTCCATATCATACACAGAGTGCCCTCTGGTGCTTCATCACAAAACTACAGTTTAGGGGAGTAGATTAAGAAAAACTGAGTTATTGTCCTAACGGAAACATCTCGAATGCTGGGTGCCACAGATACACAAACTACAAACCTGACTCTGCCTACACCTTAGACAAGTTAATCTTTGGGGTATTGTTTCTCTATCTGTAAAGTCAGAATGACTACTCTGAAATCTCTATTCTGAAATGATTTTGTTACAATTTTCTTTCACCTCCATTAATTCTACTGAGCAGCCACTATATGACAGACCCTGGACTCTGGGTTATCATTAGTGACAAGACAAATTAAGTCTTAAGCCTTGTACCAACTGAATTCACAATCTAATGAGGGTTTACAAAAATGTAAACAAAAACATTATGCTATCTGAAATAGATTTCACAGTAAGGTAGTTGCTAAACAAAGGAAATATGTTGAAATCAAGGGCAATGATTGTAAAAATTACGATAAGAATGTGAGCAACATATAATCTGTGTATGTATCTAAAGATACATTCACACAACCCTACTTATTTACAATACTGCTTCAGTTGGAGTCAGTGTTAAGAAAAAAGGGTAACTGCAATTTTTTAAATTAATAGTAAAAAAGAGAAAAAAAAAGACAAACCCTCATGCTGGTATATAGGATTATTTTGGGGGTTCTCAATATAATTGACATATAATAAAGGATGCAAACTAGAATCATAAAACTTTATTTGCTTTTTAAGCAAATAAGCACAATTAATTCTAGTTCTTGGAAACATTTCTAGAGTGGTAAGTCAGAAGTTTACTTCATTTGGGGTCCCTATTCAAAGCATTTACATACTAAAATACTCCAAAAACTTACAATTAAAAAAAAGCAGTAACAGCTAAATTTGAGTTTTTACTATGTATTAGACATGATGCTAAATCCTAAAAATGTTATCTCATTTAACTTTTCATTACAATCCTATAAAATACTGTAACTATCCCTGTTTCACAGATGTGGAAAGTAAGATTTAGAAAAGTTAAATAACTTGCTCTAGGCCATTTGGATGGCAAGTTAGGATCATTACACACGTCTGGGGGTTATCACTGAATATAATCTCACTGCAAATAAATATCCAACTTTTCTATATAGAGTAAGTTTTGTGTCTTAGTGTATGAAAAAAACATTTCAACTTTTTTCCAAGTGTTTTTACCACGTGGTATTATCTCATAACAGTCTTTATAATGAATTTTTCTAGGCATAAAAAAAACTTAACTGTCCTATCATTTAAAAGTAGTTCTCTGGGTTTGCAAAACTTGCAAAAGAAATTAGTACATATTAAAATCAAATAACTACATGTTAACATACTTGCATTTCGTGCTGGATCCTTCAGTCTATATATCAGCATATATGCATTTGTGGAGCTAGTAGAAATAGAAAAAAAATTAATGTCAACAAAAGGAGACTGTAAAGGTTCCACTTCCTAGCACCAAATATATATATATATATATATTTTTTTTAAAGTAGTTTTTTGTTGTTTCAAACAACTAGAAAACCATGTAACTTTTCATAGATTCAAACTTAAAATATTCCAGAAAACGAAAGGAGAATCTACTTTGCTCTTCCCGATGGAATTCTGAGAAGATTCCACATTTCCTCTTGGTAACACAGTTAAGTCTTCAAAAAACCTGTATCCTAGAACAATTACTACAGTTAAGTCAGGAGTCAGCACATTTCTTCTGGGCCATATTGTCTGTGTTGCAGTTACTTAATGGTTGTTGAGGGAAAAGATAAACACACAATACTTAAGTTTAACGGTGTTCCAATAAAACTTTATTTCCAAAAACTGGAGGCGGGCAGGGTTTGGTCCATGGGTTATAGTTTGCTGACCCCTGGGTTAAATCTCTTTAATGGTAAAAAATGTTGAAAAGCTGTAATTAATTTATAAAAAGTACAAATTAGGAAGTTATTTACCTTGCAAAAGCACTTGAGTAATATCCTCTGCTTCCTGAAGATCCACCATGTGTTTTCTTAATGTCCTCTTGGGTTATCTAAAAAGTTGTTATGTTATTTACCTTTCTGTAAAATCTGTAACACCATTATCTCTATGTCAACAAGTAAGCCTGTTTTTAACCTCAGACTTAAATGGGCCATACAATTACCAATTCACAAAATTTAATCAGAATCAGCGGCTACTACCAGCCAGTCAGTTCTAGTGCTCTTCACCAGGTAGCTCGCATGACGGCTCAGGGAAAAAAAAAAAAAACAAAAAGAAACTGGCATTCTGTCTCTTGAAACACCTGGCAAGCCTCAAACAAAACAAAACAAAACAAAAGAGGTAACAATGAAAACAAAGTAGGAAATTTACTGAAAGGAAAAGGAAAAACAAACTAAGTCTCCCATTTTTAATAAACATTGTTGTTGATCTGAAACACCCGTACTCCTGTCTCTGAGAATAATCTTAAGCAACCTGTCCTTACCCTGCTGACGTGCTGATCATTGAAGCTGTACCACTGTTCATCGCTGAATGACTTTATACAAGCATAGTAATGGCCACCAGCAGCACTCCCTGAATGAACCATAACGGAGAAGAGCTCATAGATCAAGGAATTCTAAGGGGGGGAAAAAAAGTAACTCAGAGAAGGGGAAAAATATAAAATCCTTATTTGTATATTTCCTATTCTCTGTTAATACACAATAAAATAACATGTTAATTGTCTTAGATATCTATTGTAGGTAGCTAAGGTATCCTCTAAGATAATTAAAATGGAAAGTCACTACATCCATAGTTTTATATTATCACAGTTTCATTCAGTGCATTCCTTCACATTTTAATTATGTTATAACCTCTGGAACTATGCATATCTGAAAAACAGTGTTATTTATGTAAAAAGAAAATAATAGTTTGAAATTTTATCTATTTATTTATTTTAAAGATTTTATTTTTTTGACAGAGAGAGAGAGATATCACAAGTAGGCAGAGAGGCAGGCAGAGAGAGAGGGGGAAGCAGGCTCCCCACTGCTCAGTGGGGAGAGCCCGATGCGGGGCTCAATCCCAGGACCCTGAAGATCATGACCTGAGCCAAAGGCAGAGGTTTAACCCACTGAGCCACCCAGGCACCCCAACAGTTTGAAATTTTAGAAGCAGGTACTAAATAGAAGACTGTTCTGGTATGTACAGGCAAGATCAAGGACTCCCAAATAACACAGCTGTTTTTATTCAAGCAAAATAATTCTATTTTCTTTGCAAAAGAGCTGAGTGATATAATGATTTAGAACATCTTCTAATGTATTTATGTAATATATGTGATACAGTGATCTCCTGATCTGTTATCTCTCAAGATGGGCTAAACATTAGAAAATCAATCTATGTAATACAGGCTAAAGAAGAAAAATTACATGATCCTATCAACTGACTCCAAAAAAGCATGTCACAAAATCCAATACCCATTAATAATAAAAATTCTCAACAAACTAGGAAGAGGAAGACCTCCTCAACTTGATAAAGAACACCTACCAAAAAACCCCTAGAACCAACAACAAACTTAATGGTAAGAAATAGAACACCTTCCCCCTGAGATTAGGAACAAGGCAAGAATGTCCTTTCTTACCACTCTTTTTTTTTTTTCTTTCTTACCACTCTTATTCAACCCTGTGTAAGAAGTCCTATGTAGTGTATGTAGTAAGACCAAAAAAATAAAATAAAACAAAATAAAAAAATAAAAAAATCGTTAATGTAGGAAAACAGGCAGGGAACGGTTTGCCAACCCATGCTTGAACACAACGCTTTTTAGATTAAGTTATAATGTATCCACTACATTATTCATTATATAGCAATTCATGATCATCTATCTGCCCTGAAACAGATAATTTTAAAAGGTAAAGACAATGATAGTGGTTGGAATAATGGTCTTGGTCTAAAAATAGATTAATGCAAGAGAAACTCCATTCTTAAATCTGTCTAAAAAAAACTATTTAATATGACTCTGCAAGACTTGAATTACTGATCAGTTTTCAGGCTAGTGATTCATAATTCACACATGCTGAAGACATCTGACCTGTAATTCTTCCCTCAATAAGGCAGATTATATGAATGTGAAAGAAATAGTTTGATAAAACCTTAAAAATCACTGACACGGTGACATAAAAGGTTTTTACAATAAAAATGATCAAATTTGGTAGTTGTCAAATTATAAATCATGGAACTATACCATTTTTTTAAATGCCTTAAGGGCTGCCATGGGGGAGGGGAGAGAGGCTGAGGGCTCTGGCTTTCCCCTATCTCTAAAGATCAGTTCTGTAACTATTTCATCATAAGGAGTTCACAGCCAAAATTTTTTAAATCAACAGATCTAGCCGAATACTTTCATTTTGCTTTATGAGAAAACTATGATAGAAGATTGAGAGGCCTGGTGCGACTTTAAAGGCAGAAGTGGTTTCCGGACCACTAGGCACCCTTTCCACACCACCACCGAGCTTGATTACATAGCTACAGTTCAGTCTCCCAGAAATTCATGCTCCTGCCTATAAGGACCTTTTCCTAAAATTTAATTATGATCACATATATGCATAAACACAGCTTTAAAAAAGTCTTCACTTTTCAAAAATTACTTCTCCTAAAGAGAATTTATTGGTCACAACAGCTATAGAATTAAACAGCAGCTTGGAGATTATTTTATTCTTTCAGCTAAAACCCACAAACTATAAAAGGTACCTTCTCAAGTCCAGGTTTTGAAATCTTTTCAGTTCCACTATTACTTTCAAGGCAGATCCCTTCATCGACACCATCATCATTCGAGAAATCATTGCTCATCTGATCACTGTGACAACTGCCTTCATTTTCTGCCCCACTGTCAGTGCAACTCTCAGTCTGAGGGGATTTCTTAATAAAACATAATTATTTACAATTATAAGCTAAGTAAAGGGAAAACATATAGTCAGTAATATTTTTTATCTACATGCTTTTTCATGTAAGTTCAGATATTATTAAGTATTTATTTTAAATAAATTTAATCTTCTGAGTCCTTAAATAAAATTATACCAAAACAGTGTATTTAAAAGCACCTCCATTAATGTCCCTAAAATTCAAAAACAATGAATTAGTGATTCAGAATTCTAATTAAACCCCATTTATGTTTATAGTTACAAAGTAACAATATAAATTACCATTTCCTTCACCCAAATCTATAAAAGCAGAGAACCTAAGTGCCAAAATGAGCTTTTGTTCTCAAATCCCAAAATCATATCATTTCTTTTCTTGAACAAAAAGTTCGATTTATCACTGTGCTATTATAGACAATTAGAAAGAAAAACGACATTGTACCTATCCTCAAGAACTTTATATTCTAGTGCACAAGGGGTGGAACTGTAACGACAAAAAAATCATCATACTCTTTCATGCTTTTAATATTTTTAAATCCTTCTCATGCCAATTTTATTTGAAGGAATCTACTTCCTAGAAATCCCCAAACAACTCCTTGCCCCCTTTTCCTTTAATATTTAATATACATACCTAAAAATGTTTTTATTTAAAAAGATTAAGAATTCTTCTCTAAGATGTCGGCTCTTACAAATTATACAGAATTTCCTAAATTAACCAAGCAATATATAATAATAAGCGCCAACATCCGCCAAAAACTTTGTTGTGGGGACTGCATCTAACATACAGTCCTAGTCCCTCAACAAAGTTTGGTTCAAAGTGAAAACCAACTCTAGAACTCTACACTAAGTCCAAAGAGCTCAATCCTGACATTCCTTTAGGCTGGAACATCTCTTCTCCCCACAAATAGATCCAGAACTTCCTAAAAGTTCCTGTCAAATTATATCTAGGTTTTCTTTATTTATAAAAGATCCCCTTTTACAAGGAATGTATATGGAAAATCAATTCAATACTGACTGATCTCTGTTGGTGTAGGAGTCCTGTAAAGACTCTACTCTGCTTTCCTTGCTGTTGTTGTTTTCTTTAAGATTTTATTTATTTATTTGAAAGACAGAGAGCGAGAGTGAGAGCATGAACTGGGGGAGAGGCAGATGGAGAGGGAGAAGCAGACTCCCCACTGAGCAGGGGCCCCAATGTGGTGCTCAATCCTAGGACCCTGGGATTACGACCTGAGCCGAAGGCAGACACTTAACAGACTGAGCCACCCAGGCGCCCCCAGAGATGCTATTTTAAATTAAACCTTTCAAAATGTACCTTGGTCATAGGGACTGCTCCATGAACACCTACTTTATCCAAAATGCTTTTTATAAAAGCCATTAAAAGGAATTACTGACCTTACTTTACAGAGAAAGCAAGGCTCAGAAAAGCTGCTCTTCTACACTACATTATCTCATAATACTTAGGAGCACTAACTTATCTAAAACCTGACTCAGGTTTAAAATCATTTTTGAGCTTTTGAGAAAAGACATTTTTATAACTACAGTGATCAGTTCCAATCAGAAAAAAAACGGATTCATGAGAGTTTTGAAAAAAATAAAGATGTATCACTAACAATTATGTCCAGTGATTGTAAATCACCCCTATAATGAAATCAGAAGTTCCCAAAAGAATAGAATGGGGCATTAAGAATTTCCTACCAAATAACGTTAGGAGAACCAGAGAATTTGGAGGGGTTCACTTAGTGGAAAACAATGATAAGCATTACTGGTGTCCTTCAAAGTCCCATTCTCAAACTATTTCAATAAAGTTTTAACTAAAAAACTAATTTAAACAGGGAAACAGACAAAATGCCCTTATTTTCTAGCTTATTTTAAAGGGGCTAAATTTCATTTTATTATATTTATTTTATTTATTTATTTATTTGACAGACAGAGATCACAAGTAGGCAGATAGGCAGGCAGAGAGAGGGGGAACCAGGCTCCCTGCCTAGCAGAGAGCCCAATGTGGAGCTCGATCCCAGGACCCTGAGATCATGACCTGAGCCGAAGGCAGAGGCTTTAACCCACTGAGCCACCCAGGTGCCCCCAGAGGGGCTAAATTTTAATTGAGAATAACCCAGAAACCTTAATCCTTGAAAAAGACACTAAGACAAATACAAGAAATTAAGGCCATACTACCTAATTTGCTCATTTTTTCACTTAAATATTTGTTCTGTGTTTATTATGTACCAGAAACACAATGCAGCCCATCTCTAGATTAGTTTGTTTTACTTAGAATATTATGAAACATGAGATTATTGCTGTAAATAACTCCAGAGTTTAAGATTCTTTCTGTCTTTTCAAAGAATATGTTATTCTGATCAAAACAGAATATCTGAAATATAATTTATGGTGGACAAAAAAAGCTTGTACAAATCTAGATCTTTTTATACAACTTGGCATTACAAAATATAAGAAAGGAACACCTTCTATCACAAAGATAGTCTAAAAGCCACCATTGTTGTTGCCCCAGATAGCTCTCTAAAACACATGACCAACCAAAAGGAATTAATATCTTTTAACAGAAAAAATGAATAAATATTTTACCTCATCTTCAACATCAATAAATGTACTCATATCTAGCTCCTCAGGAAATGTCATCCGATCATTCAATTTAATCCTGTGCATTGTTGTATAATCAAAATCAAACCTTTTCAACTGTAAGGTCAGCAGATAAGGGAAATGCAAAAACCGAAGACCCTAAAAAGAAAAGGACCTATTGAATATGGAATATAATCTCAGATAACTTAGTATTAATTTCTACATGGCATCTACCTTTCGTGCATCACATTTCTTCTTACAACGTTCACAAAAATATTGATTTGGGCCATCCAGGATCTCTGGCTGAATAAATGCATGCAATGCTTCTTCCTAGTAAGAAAAAAAAAATGTTTTATAATTAAAAATATTATAATGTTAATTACTAAGTCTTAAATATAAAAACTTTGCAATTACCAAAACAGAAGTAGAATGGCTAGAAAATAAGGAACTCAAAATGCAAAAAGAAAAAAAAAATATCAATAGCAATATGTCATTATCAAAACTGAGCAACAAAATAATTGCCTTAATTCTGCATGAAATCTGTCTTTTCTAGCATTGCACATCAGTCATTTATTTCTACCTAATTTTTACACTGATTTTACATTGTTGAATTGGGCTAAATAATCAAATAAAGATCCTGTCTTTAGATTAAAAATATGGTACTTCTTAGAAAAGTACATGCATCACTTCAATCTTGTAAATCGAGACATTCATAAACTGTACAGTAAGTAACAGAACTCTGAAGAATTCACACTATCCATACACTAAAGAATCTAATAACCATCATTTACCACTATATTTAGCGTCAGTCCTTAATTCGCCACTGCACTAAAGATTGGAAAGCACTGGGCAACTTTCTCCCTGCATGTCAGATACTGCTCCAGCTGAAAATGAATGAGAGCTCCTCGAGTGTTCACCTAGTGGAACCATGTGGTTCTCTTTTCTCCATACAGCCTTAAGACAGAAGCAAGAAACTTAGTATGAATATTGTTGAAGAATCAGTGGGCATAAAATTTTTAATTTTTAATCACCGATTTTTCACAAATTGTAGTTAATACAATATGTAAGATTGTACTGCATAATCTCATTTCATTTGTTGTGATCTCTTCACACATGGTCTAATCAGAACTACTGACAATATTTACTATATACAAAGAAAAATTTGTATCATTCAGACAAAATATCTTCAAATATTTTTCTTTTGATTCAGAACATGTTACTCAAAAGATAAATAAAGGAGCTTGATCTGGCAAAATGTAAAATAGGTGACAACAAACTACTATGCACATATTGTTTGGTATAGCTCATTTTGGGATAAGAACAAAAAATATGAAAAGATATTCAAAATACCTCTAACCTCAGCCATCTCCTATTTTGTTCTCAGAAACCCAAGGAAGCAAGGGGCTGAGGGTTGGGGTTGGGGTGGGGAAGAACCAAATAGTGGGTTTTTTCCACATGACCAAGCAATTTACTGGAGGTCACGGAAAGGGGCACATTCAGAATGATTTTTTTTTTCCTTAAAGTGTGTTTAAGCAAGAAAAAGGCAAATCCTGTGAAAGCATAACACAGAAAAAGCAGCCATATAGATAGCTCAGCATAGACTGGTATCAAATTAGTCAAGCTTTCCAAATAGAAACTGAACTGTAAAACACTCAATACCTTAACAAAACAAGGGGGAGTATGTAGAGTAAGAAAATTATGTAACTCAAATTCTACTTTCCTAAACCGTGTGTACCAGTTTCTGGCTAGAGTTCATATCTAGCACTCTCTTTTTCTATTTTTTTTTTTAAGTTAAAATTCAGAGAAAGGTTTAAAGCACAGAAAACACCCAAAATTTACTCAGACTCACCAACTTTTAGTATTTTGCTACCCTTGCTTTATCATTCTCCCACCCCCACACACATTATGTATTTTTCTGAAGCATCTGAGAATATGTTTACATATCATGCTTTTCCTCCTAATAGTTCTATATGACTTTTTAAGAGTAAGGGTGTTCTTACATAAACAACAGAGTTATTAAACTCAGGAAAATTTAAGATTGATAAAGTACTTCTGCAATATTCCAATTTTGTTAACTGTCCCAATCCTAAAAATGCATTTCTCCCCATCCAGTACAGAACTGAATCCAGGATCACGGATTACATTTGGCTGTCTCTTCAGATTCATTTTGTCTGGAACAGTTCCAAAGCCTTTTTTCCTTTCAAGACATAGTTTTTGTCTGCAATTTGGGTTTGTCTGATGTTCCTTATCTTTAGGTTCAAGTTCTATGTATTCCTTGCTAGACTACCACTTAAGTTATGAGGTGTCCTAAGAGGATCACAGTCACAGGCCACGATATCTCCAACCTCCTTACCGGTGAAATGAACTTTAATAACCTCGTCAAAGTGTTACCCAGGCTCTCTACTACGTACTGCTTATCCCCTTGAAGCTAATATGTAATCTATAAGGAGATTGGGAGATCATGCAAAAATCCTCTCTCTTAAACTTTCCACCCTAGATTTAGCATCCACAAATGGATTCTTCCTTAAACCAAATTGTAATGTTTTATGAGTCAACTTAAAAATCTTTTTTTTCAGTAGGCAACTTGAGTCCATTCATATTTAATATGATGTTTTTTGTTTCATCTAAATTAGTTTATTATAATTACTATGTGTATTAAGTAAGATTTACTGTGTTCTTCTCTCCAAATAGTATGTTTTGCTACCTTTTACATTTTCCTTTGGTATTTAGGAATGTTAGTAATTTTGTTCTAGTGTATTTATACTTTTGTTAATGCCCTTAATCATTTAGTACCTGGTTTGCTAGTTTTATGTTATCCTTTGTCTCCGACCCATTCTATGGGTAGCAGTCCATGATCTCATTCTACCTTCCCTTATCCCCCCGCCGCTTTCCTTTTTTTGAGTGGTATTCCCTTTACTCCATCTCACATATAACATGCTATTCTTCTACCTATGCCCCCACCCTGTTTCATTTATTCCTCGTTTCTATAATTTAATATATTAAGTGCTCATAGCCCTTTTGCTGAAGCTTGCCTGGGCTGGAGATCTCCTCATTGGATAGAGCTTATTCCCTAGTAAACTCAAGAAGGGCTCATGGATACAATATTGAGTAAGTTCTCCAATGTTCAAGAATGGAATCATTCACTCTCATCATAACTGAAGAAACACTTGGTTAGATGTCAAATCCTTGGCCTGTACTTTCTTTTCTTGAGTTTCTGGAAACTGCTATTCTGTTGCCATGATTTGCATGCTGCTCTTCCTAATTATGATATCAGCCCAATTTACCTTAAAGTTTAACAGTTTATCAAAATATGTCTGAGTTGATTATTCTACGTCAGTTTTTCCAAGTATATGGTAGGTCCTTCAAAAGTAGACTTAAATTTCCCTTACTCCTGGGAAGTTTTCTTGGCTTGTATATCCTAAGTTCTGTTCTACATTGTTTTTATTTTTCAGGTTCCCAGTTATGTTAGACATCCTTTGCCAGTCCTTCCTTTGATTTTCTCTGAGATCCTTTTTACTTTCTCTCATTTTCATTGGATGGCTCTCTTTAGATTTCCATTCCATTCTATTCTCTTGAGCATTTTATAGTTTATTCTTCATTTCGAACATAGTTTGGTCTTTTTCTTCAACTTCTTTTCTCAGTTTTATCAATTTATATTGCATTTCCTGGTTTTTGTTTGTTTGTTTTTTAATCCATCGCTCTCCTTTAATTTTTGGATGCCAGGTTTCATTTGAGACGACTTCACTTAGTCTGGAGTATTGTGTTACAGCATTCTACTGTGTGGTTATTTTCCTGAGGGCTTTTTTTGGCAGGGTGGATTTTCACCAGCTGAAATGTTTTAATACGTATTTTCTGTTTTAACAGTGGCGCCATGTAAATTTGATTCCCATCCCCCACCCACCCCATCATTCTTTGGACTGCGCATTCTTTAGTTTGAGAGTACCTCAAACTTGTCTACCTGGTGAACTGCAGTTTCTTAAATGGGTGATGGGAGTGCAAAGCAAAGCTTAGGGTCATTTTTCATTCTGCAGGACACTTAACTGTTCTCTTTCTCCTTGTTTTCTCTTCACCACTGTGAGTCAGATGCATCATGCTTCCCTATTTCTCTCCCAGAGGCAAAATTCTTCTAAGGATGGCACTTCTCACTCTAGAACTCTTTCCCCGTAGCTGGTGCTATAATATACCCAAGTCCTGTCGGCACTCGCTCTTTTGGCATGTACTATTGTACTTGTGACCTTTGTCTTTGTTTGTTTCGTCCTTCAACCTCTTCTGTTTCATAGTCTTGAAGCAGCAGTAGAAGCTTCGTTGGAACTTGGTGATTATTTTGCTACCTACAGGTAATTTGAGGTTATGGTGTTCTGTCTCCTACTAATGCAGAATTTATGGGTTATTTGGGTTTTATCTATGTTCCTTTTAGTCTCTGGTTTTTGGAGAGAATGTGTAGAGATATACAGATTCAGGAGACCACCATTATCCTCCAAACTCAGAAAGCAGTTAAAACCGTTATTAGAGTATTTCCTATAGCTTTCTTATTCACTTTTTAACAAGCTGGCTCCAGGTTAATCATAAATAAGATCAGACAGTTATGAAAATTAGCTTCAATTCATCTATCCATTGAAGAAATAAATTACATGAATGATGGGATAATGTGGCTATATACATTTATCTTCACCTTAATGTGATGTAGATTATGAAAAACCATGCCAAACTGTATTTTACATATTAAAAAATAAGCTATGAATCATAAAAATGGGAACAATACTATAAATACTGTACCATTATTAATATACACAAAATATTTTGCTCTGGTTACCAACAGCTGTCCTCTTAAGCATGCTAAATTACTCATGTATCATGCTTCTAAACTAGCTTTGGGTTGACTGTGTTGTTTTTCTTCATTCCAGAGTGAAGATAATAGATTTATTTTCTACAGCTTAATCCTATTATATAAAATGTAATTTGTACATTTTTTTTGAGTTTACTTATTAACATAAGATGTATTACTAGCCCCAGGGATACAGGTCTGTGAATTGCCAGGTTTACACACTTCACAGCACTCACCATAGCACATACCTTCCCCAATGTCCATAACCCAACCACCCTCTCCCTATCCCCCTCCCCCCGCCTGCAACCCTCAGTTTGTTTTGTGAGATTAAGAGTCTCTTATGGTTTGTCTCCCTCCAATCCCATCTTGTTTCATTTATTCCTTTCCTAACCCCCAAACCTCCCACATTGCCTCTCAAATTCCTCATATCAGGGAGATCATATAATTGTCTTTCTTTGACTGACTTATTTCACTAAGCATAATACCCTCTAGTTCCATCCACGTC